ATATTCTCGGCATTCCCCAGGGTTTGCCTTAAAGGGGTGCATTTCTCTTGGCCCCTGTTCCCTTAATGAACTTTGCTGAGCAGTTCTTGAAGATCGAAAGGTAGTTTTGGCCTACAATGTATAAACCGGGCCACTGAGTCACGCGGGGGCCTGTTTGCAGAGCCGCGAGGGGGGGGGGGGATGGCATCCATGGCAGGTTGGCAGAGGGGGGTGGGCCAGTGCCGGACGTAGGAAACTCAGGCTCTCCTGACCATCGCTGGCCCTATCAACAGAGTCTTGGGGCAACCCGGGGGGCGGGAGCGCGCGGCCGATATTTAAGGGGCAGCGCCATCCTGCCCACCATTCTTTGGCTTTGAACAACTTGGTTCTCCTCCGCGCATATAATCTGGTTTCCAGCAGCAATTTAGTTTGGAAGAGTTATACATTCAGAAGGGAGAGATGGAGGCTATTCATTCAGAAGGGAAAGATGGACCAGAGAAGCTGAGAGTGACAGGGAGACAACAGTATTTTTAACAGTACTGGTAAGCAGACTCCTTCCTATGCATCAAGAACATGGGGGAAGAAAGTAATTAGCAAAAGTGGCAATTGCTAGTGATCCAGGTCTTTTCCTTCCCGACTCCTTTCACAGGGCAATGGCCCTCGTAGTGCTCACTGCCCTAATCGGTAGCGGGAAAGTGCCATGGCAACCCTGTAGGCTTTTCAAGGCACGAGACGGACAGAAGTGGTTTGCCATTGCCTGCCTCTGCACAGTGACCCTGGGCTTCCTTTGCAGCCTCCCATCCAAGTACTAAGTGACACCGACCCTGCTTAGCTTTCAAGATCTGATGAGTTCAGGCTAGCCTGGGTCATCCAGGTTACATCTACTACCCTGACAAGCATACAATTTATACTTTTTTCTCTTGGTCTGAAAAGGACCCAGAGGTAGATCCCATAAACATAATGAAAAGCGAAGTTTTAGTCCAGTGGTACCTTTAAGACCAACAAAGTTTAATTCTGGGTATAAGCTTTTGTGTGGCTATTCATATACTCATCTGTTCACCATTATTGTTGGTCTCAGGCAGACTTACCTTTATCACCCTCTTCTCCTTACACCTCACCTGGTGAAATCTAACGGCATCCCCCCCCCCGGTAATTCTGACTTGGGGGGTACAGTTTCATTTGTAGGTCTGCAACATGGTTCTGTTTCATTGGCTTGTCCTCAAAAAGGAAATCGTAGAGCTGGAAAAGTGGGATTAAAAATTGTCAGTGGATGGTGATTCCTTCCCATATTAGCTAAACTAAAAAGCCACAAATACTTTAGCCATAAGGAACTGACTTAAGATGGGAGGGAGGGATGGGGTGGTGGGTTTAGGAGACTATGAAGAACCCTAGAACTTCCCTCTTGTTGCTAAATAAATGCAGTTGGATAGATAAGAGGATCTCTTTGCACATCACACAGTTAACTCGTGGAACTTCCTACCACAAGGCATGGTGGGGACTAAAGGGGATCAGATAAATTGTGGGAGGATAGGCCAAATGAAACCCTCCTGTTCAGAAACAGCATACCTGCGAATATCCCTTGAGGGGAGAAGAGTTGCTTGTGGGCTTTTGGGAAGCATTTGGTTGACAGCTGTTGAAAAAACAGCTGTGGGGACTGATCCAGGAGGTCCCTTATGTAGAGTAAACTGTGAAATAAAATTGGGACAGTGCTCTGGGCGTGGCCCGTTACGGCATGTTGTCTGTCGATTTTGATGGGACCTCTTCCATCCAGCTGCAGATTGCAGAGCGTAAGCTCCTGGAATGTGCTGCTTCCAAGATCCTAAAAAATCCTCACTTAAATTTCAGGAATGCCTCAGCTCGGTAGCCAAAAATGCAGATCCTGGGAGCCAAGCTTCCAAACAGGCAACAGCATGTGATGGAATCCTGCGGGCCTGCATCCACAGGTTTGCCGAAGGCTCGATCCGCCCAGATCACCTGGAAGGTCTCCGGACTCTGGCTGAGAGGGCCTACCATGGCTACGTGGAGGCTCGGCCGCAGTATACTCCTCTCTACCTGGAAAGGTTGCTCTACCACTTGCTGAGAGGCGCTGCTTCCCGGGGCCCATCGGAGACCAGCCTGGGCTTTGCGAACCTCCTCTACACCGAACTGTTGAAGCACCAGCCTCCGGAGGTGCCCTCCGACGACTTCGCGTCCATCGCCAAGAGTGCCTTTAGCGTGCTGTGGAAGAGCACCGACGCCGTGGCTAAAACAGAACGGGCTCCCACCCGATTCAGGGCGGTCCTCTCGGCGCAGCTGCAAGCGGTGCGCTTCTTGGTTCTCCTGGAGCACAACTCCTCTGTCCTCTCACTCAGAGAGCCCCCGTTCTTTACCTCTGTGGCGGCCCAGCATGCCGCCGCTGCCGCTTCTGTGTTTGAGGCCCAGCGGAGCCCACTGTCCAGGGAGGAGGCTTGTTTCCTCAGCGAGCAGCTGTTCGGCCATCTTGTCGTAGGGCTTCTGGAAAAGAGGGGCTCGAGCGAAACTTTGCCCTTCCAGGACAAGCTCTGCATCCTTGAACTCACTGTGGTGAGGTCCCGGTACCTCTGCAAGAGCGGCTGCTTTGCAGAGGGCGAGGAAGTTCTCCAGCAGTCCCAGGGCTGTTTGAGAAGCTCCAAGAAAAGAAGGAGCTTCTTTAGTGCATGTCTGGATGTTCTCTCCATTGGCGTTGAGCTGAACAGAGTATTGGCGCTTCAGGATGTCTCAGTAGGAGCCCTCTTTGCCCGAGCTGCTGAGATCCTGAACACCTTGCTGGATGCTAACGAGCATCTGCTAAAAGTGACGGTCGAAAGTTGCCAGTTGTTCATCACGGCTCTATATGGATACGCCAGAGAAACGAAACGGAGCATCCTCAGTCTACATGACGTTCTGGGGATCTCTGCCTTTATGGAAAGATACTTTGAGCTGCTTGGCAAGCTGCTGAATGCTGTGAGTTTGTTTTCCCTTGTTTATTTTTCTCACTAATTCATTTGTATCCTGCCTTTCTTCCCAGTGGGGACCCATTGGGGTCGCCAACTTTCAGGTAGAACCTGGAGATCTCCCAGAATCACAATTCATCTCCAGACAACAACGGAGTTCCATTTCCCTGGGAAAAGATGGCCGCTTTGGAAGGTAGACACTATGGGATCATGCCCCAATGAAGTCCTTCCCCTCCACAAACCCCCACCCTCATCAGGCTTCACCCCACTGAAATCTCCAGGAATTTTCCCCAACCTGAAGTTGGCATCCCCAGGACCCAAGAAGCTCACAACAGAAGTGCAACGATACAGAAGAAACCAATGAGCAGGAGAAGGGAAGCCTTCTAAATTTTCTCTGTGTTGGCCAGGAGATTGTCCTGCCAGTTCTAGGCTAGGACCCTTGGTAGGGTTGCCAGCTCTGGGTTGGGAAAGTACCTGGAGATTCCAGGGGTGGAGCCTGAAGGGGGCGGTGCTTGGGGGCGGAGGTGCTGGCAGAGTTTGAACATGCAGAGGCACGGAGCACCAACTGTTTAAAGAAAATAACTCAGTTTATTAAGGATGAAATAAACTTTGATAGAACAGAGAAGACAATGACATTGGATTTATACCCTGCCCTTCACTACCCAAAGAAGTCTCAGAGTGGCTTACAATCTCCTTTCCCTTCCCCTCCCCACAACAGACACGCTGTGAGGTAGGTGGGGCTGAGAGAGCTCTTTCGAGGACTGCTCTTGAGAGAACAGCTCTGAAATAAATGGTGACTGACTCAAGGTCACACCAGCAGCTGCCTGTGGAGGGGTATGGAATCAAACCGGGTTCTCCCAGGTTAGAGTCTGAGCTCCTAACCACTACACCAAACTGGCTCTCAAGAGGAGAGGGAGAGTGGTTTAACTAACTGCTGTGAGAGACAGGAACAAAGGAGGAGGGCTCAGTTGGAGCAGGAAGTCTCCGGAAGAGCCAATCAGGAGACAGGAAGGACATAATTTGGAATTGTGGGCAGTCCCTAATCTAGCCATGCCAACTACCAGTCCTTCAGCTCTCCCCTATAGGCTGTTCTTCTGATCTTCTTCAAGTAGGTGCACTGTCGACCTTGTATATTCCAACAGGAGGGACCTCATCAAGGTACACTACCACAAACTCCACCCTCCAAAGCAGCCATTTTCTCCGGGGGAACTGGTTTCTGTTGTCCTTATATCAGTTGTAAAAGTGGGAGATCTTCAGGTCCCACTTTGAGGTTGTCCACTTTAACTCTGGGGCTTGGAGCCTAGTGCCCTTTGGCTCTTGCCCTTCTGTTTGTGCTCAGGAGCTCACTCCCTTGGCCACTCGCAGGCCATAAATGCCTCGAAAAGGAAAGAGACAGACACTCAGCCTGAATCTTACAAGCTGGCAGCCATCTTCCCAGATGTTCCCCCTCCTGCTTTCACTTTTCCTACTCTTTCACTCCACAAGTATCCCTTGATTCAAGGCCCAGCCATACCTTGCTGCCTTTGGTTGCATGGGAAAGTTATGCATGGGAAAGTTACCCCCGCACAACCAGCATAAGCACACATGCACGCTCATTCCGCTAGAGAAGAGGCAGCCAACCTGTATTCCTCTGATGCTGGTCCTGGGGCTAGAGTAACCTGAACAGCTACTGATGAGGTAGAATGTAGGGTGTGTTTTTTTTTTTTTTTGGGGGGGGGGGGGTTCCCAGGTCAGAGAGGTTGTGGAGCACTGGGTTATGATGACACCATAAACTGAGGCTGAGCTGAGCCAGTTTGGTGTGGAGCCTTGTAGCAGAACTCCTTCGCATATTAGGCGACACACCCCTAATGTAGCCAATCCTCCCAAGAGCTTACAGAGCTCTTCTTACAGAGGCTACTATAAGCTCTTGGAGGATTGGCTGCATTAGGGGTGTGTCGCCTAATATGCAAAGGAGTTCCTGCTACAAAAAGAGCCCTGATAGTGGACTCTAATCTGGAGAACTGGGTTTGATTCCCCACTCCTCCTCCACATGATGCCTGCTGGGTGACCTTGGGTCAGTCACTATTCTCTCAGAGCTCTCTCAGCCCCCCCTACCTCACAGGGTGTCTGTTTAGGATTGGCTGCATTAGGGGTGTGTCGCCTAATATGCAAAGGAGTTCCTGCTACAAAAAGAGCCCTGATAGTGGACTCTAATCTGGAGAACTGGGTTTGATTCCCCACTCCTCCTCCACATGATGCCTGCTGGGTGACCTTGGGTCAGTCACTTTTCTCTCAGAGCTCTCTCAGCCCCGCCTACCTCACAGGGTGTCTGTCGTGGGGAGGGGAAGGGAAGGGAGTTTGTAAACTGCTCTGAGACGCTGAGTGAAGGGCGGGGTATAAATCCAATCTCTTCTTCATATTTGAGAGAGCAAACCAGTTCATATAGATATATGTATATAAAATATATGTCCATCTATTATTTGTTTTATTTTCTCGCCACCGGGGGCCCAAAGCAGCTTAAAACCTTCTCCCCCACCTTCTCCATTTTATTCTCACAACCAACAAGGTGTTTAAGCTGCAAGAAAGAGTGGCCCAAGGTTACCCAGCAAGCTTCTGTAGCAGAGTAGGGTTTTGAATCTGGTTTGGCCATGTCCTAGCATGACACTGATCACAAATTCCATGCTGCCTTGCTATTGCATTGGTTAAAATTTGGTAGGGCTGTTACATTGCTGTGGGGGTGGGGCTAATCCAGCCTGTAGAACACCAACTGGCTCTTCCTCCAGAGTGCATGAAAATGTCTTGGATGTGTTTTTGTTTTTTGTCTTCCCCAGGGGTGTCTTTAAAAATTACTCTTCCCTTCTATGCAAATATAATGCATGCAATGAAGAACCTTATATTTCAATGTGTTGCAGTTTCTTTCTCCCCCCCCCCCTGTGATATGTGGGGGGAAAACCCCTAAACAGTACAGTTTAGGTATCTTAGAATGCTATCTTATACATGGTTACTGCAGTCGAAGCCACTGGAGTAACTCTGCGTCAGACTGATTGTTAATGAGTGACCTGGCACCCACTGGGTTTGGGGCCATTCAAGCGTCTTCCTCTGCTCATCTTCCGACCCTTCCCAGGTTCCGCCAGACAATGTGAAACAGCAGCCAGCTCTGAAGAAGCTGCTGTACCACTTCGCCCAGCTGTACACCACCTTAGTATATGATTCTCTTCAGACTCTGCAGGTATGAGAAACCAAGGCGGGAGGTGGTAGCATCTGCCCCGTGGAATCCTGAACAGACCAGAAAATCCTGCCGTCTGTGTAAAGATAAGATCAAGGCTTTCATCTTTGCCCCCCCCGGGGGGCCAGGATTAGTATCCTTAGTGGGGCTGGGGTCTAGATTCTCCAGAAGCTCTTTGGTTCAGGGGTAGGGTGTGTGTGTCTTGTGCACAAGGGCCAAGGTTCAGTCCCTGGTACCCCCAGACAAAGGCTTTCTTGTAGAAGAGCTGTGAAAGGGTCCTTGTCTGGAATGGCTTTGGGAAGGTGTTGCCGGTCAGAGTAGTCAATACAGGACTAAGTGGACTCGTGGTCTGAGTGAGTTAGATTTCCAGAAATGTTGAAGCCGCAGAGGGGAAAAAGATATCTTTGAAAAAAATGGAAATTTGGGGGGGAAACTGAAATATATGCAGTACTTCTGAGGTCTTAGCTTATTATGCTGCTTTAACACCAGAGGCGTCCTATGTTAACATAGTGTATGCAGATGTTCAATGTGGCATCTTTATGAAACTTTAAAGGTACAGTGCTTTAATCTTCAACCAACAAAGTTGCAAATACAATCAACTACTAAAGAGGGCTGCAGACTGCGACCCTACATGCTTCCTTAGCACATGTATTTTAGCTTCTGCTGTCTGCAAGGTTTGGAAAAAATTAAATCAGCTGAAAACAGAAATCACAGATTTGGTGCTAAAGAAAAGTGCTGTTTGGAGAAATGGAAGAGTTTCCTCTAGACATTCAGGACAAGCCCCTAGGTTTGCAGGAAATTCTGAAAAGCCGTTTTCCCCCTATTTTAAACAAACTGGAGGCAACTGCAATGGGGTGGGGAATTCAGATGGAGATTATAGTCACTATTATGAACGAGATCTCATAATGTAAAGGGGGACAAGGCAACAGCAGGAGAATACAAGGACACGGGAAGGGGGGAGGAGTCAGAAGTGGGTGGACTGGAGGGTGGGAGGAGAGGAACGAGGCAGCAGTTGCACTCGGAGCCGTCCATCCTCATCAGCTGGCTGTCAGAGGGGAAAGATGGGGGCTGGAGCAAAAGGCATCCCACACTTTCTGCGCCAAAGCCGTTTGCCACCATCACTGCTGCTGACATGCTGGTGGAAGGCGGGATGGGAAGGGAAAGCCCTGTGGGTGAGTAGTGTTGGCAAGAGGCTTTAAAGGAGAAAGGAAGATGCACATTCTGCTTCACCTGCCCGCATCCCTTCCAGTGCCTAGCTGATTAGGGATGTGACTGGCAGGAGTCTCGGAGAGGGAAGCAGGCGGTGGAGGGGGGGAGAAGGGAGAAATGAAGGACAGAGGTGGCGAATGGGATTTCCTATCCTGCTGTTGAAAATGGTACACTCCATGATTTGCCGGCTGTATAGATTGGCTCCAGATACCCTTGGAACTTTCATGCAAACAAGGTACAAGTTTGCTGTCCGTAGCAGACTCATTGTGGTGAAGTGCTGCTGGAGGGGTATGTGTGTGTATATATATATGTGTGTGCCTCCTATGCTTTTTGTTTCCTCTTCCTAAAACTTGCCTTTCTCACAGGGGCCAGGGTCTCCAGGGATGCTACAGCTGGTGGCGTCCCTTCAGAAGGTTGCTTCCTGGATGCTGGATATGCTAGCAGGTCTTCCACAGAGCGAGCAGGCAGAATACCTGGATGTCTCAGGTTGGTATCAAAGACCGTCTTCCTCCTGTGGCTTGGTTCTCTGTGTACTGATGAGCCAAAGGCTGTTCTCCAGCATAATAAGAAACAAGTACACCTTTGTTATTAGCAGGCCTCTGGAGCAATCCGTGGCTCAGGATTGCAAGCAGTTCAGCGTCTTAACCACTTGAGAAACAAGTACACCTTTGTTATTAGTAGGCCTCTGGAGCAATCCCTGGCTCAGGATTGCAAGTCTGTGTGCATATGAAGTATATACACATGTGTTCCCTCCCTCCCCACACTTAAAAAAAACAATGTGCACTTCCTATGCATTCCCAAGCCAGCGGTTGTACTCATTCAGCGAGTATAATGTCATAAATAGAGTGCTTTGACCTTGGAGGTTAACGGACCATGTGGAAAGGTCTGCTGGCTGGTTCTGTTCAGGAGGTGAGGTAGAAGCGTGTTTATCTAGTGGTTTTCTTTCCAAAGCAGGCATGCTGTTCAACCATGCTTGGTCAAAGACTAAGCTTTTCCCTACCCTCTCTCTCAACAGCATATTGCGTGTCACGGCTGGGCTACAGCTTCTACTGTCAGAAGATGCACGTTGAGTCTAACTTGATAGTAGAGCTCTTCTGCAGGAGGCTGGGCAAGGAAGAGCTGTTCAAGAATCCAGAATTCCCTACAGAAAAGGTATATAACATTGTGCTTGAAGCTTCATGACAGAGAGTACAGGTGGGATCTTGTCGAGCTCAGAAGTTCTATTATCCAAGAGGTCTTTCGGTGGCATCTAAGATCTGAGCAAGGTAACATTTTGTGAGTGCTGTGTGTGGGAAAATGGCCTTTGGAGATACATCCCAATACTTCTTGGTTTGGGGCTTGCAAAAACCCTACGCTTGGTTTTAAAATGCAAATGGCTGTCCCAGTGGAAGACAATGAAATGGCCAGTGGCGCACACCGTGGCTGGAATCTGATGCTTAGAAGGTGAACAGGGTTGTGGGATACTGGAAGCCAGATAGTATATTCCTGGAGACCTTAGGAAGGGAAGGTTTCACACACTGGTGGGGGGAGACAGAAAATTCCCGACACAGAGGGAATGGGGACCATTTTGGTTGATTTAATCTGGAAGATGGTGCTTTGTCACCTGGTCTCACTCTCGAAGTTCGCCATTGCCACTGGAGCTAAAAAAGGGCAGGCAGCTGATCAAAGACTCCCAAGGTCATGGGAAGATTTTAGTATGCTGCTACTTTGAAATTTATAAAGCCTGCCTTAGAATAAGACCAGCTAGGGCATGTTATCAGCTGAGGGACAGAGGACTGCACATTTGCACATTTTTTTGTATTCCTTGTTTGATCCATTGCACTGCAGAGTACGTACATGGACTTTCAGTAAACCTTTTTCTAAATGCTGGTAGTTGCTCTCTGTCCTGCATACACCTCTGCCATTCAAACACTTTATCTAAAACAAGCACCAGGGGAAGGGAGGCTGTCGGTTGCTAGACTGCTGTTTCCCTGGGAGTGCACAAGTGTGGTAATTGTTGGTTAGTGGGGGATGCAGGCACTAGGTGGAGCCCTTGAACAGCATTGGGCACAGAGTGCTAGAAGTGCTGGCCCTCTTAGCAAGTAGTACTCTAACTGACCAGCTGGTGCCAGCGGAAATGCCAGAGAGAAGCGGGAAATCCCCTCCAAGTCAGCTGGACTCAGGAGAGCGGTGCATTGCTGGATGGAGCCTTGGTATAATCGCTGAGTGCCTAGACACCTCAGGGAGTGGTACTCACAGGTCAGGGGGCAGTTTTGCGACAGGGGAAGTTCTATACTCGGTTTGGTGTAGTGCATTAGAATAACACCAGGACCATCTGGGGTACAATCACACAGGGAAGGGACGCACTTTGCAGTCACTCAAGACTGTTCTTAATGCTGGTTTGAATGCATGAAACTTCCTTATACTGAGGCAGACTATTGGTCCATCAAGGTCAGTAATGTCCACTCAGATTGGCAGCGGCTCGCCAGGGTCTCTCATGTTACCTCTGCAAGGTCTTTTCTACTGGAGATGTCAGGGGTTGAACCTGGGGCCTTCCATGTGCCAAAACACATGCTCTAACACTCAGCCATAGCTTCCTCCCTAAACGAACCTGCCTTTTCCTCAGTTAGGCTCTTGGGCCTATCTCAGCATTTCAACTGGAGATACTTATTCAGAAGTAAAGCCCTCTGAGCTCCATGGTACCTTTTTCCAAGTAAGTGTGTGCAGGCTGGGCTAAGGCAGCAATTACAACATTTCTGAGTCCACACAAAGGACTGCTCCAACGAGGAATGGCTTAAAGTAACTTTCATATAAAGAGCAACAAAAACATCTTGTTACAGCAAATCTGAGCCTTGTTCTAAAATTCAGATCATGTGATCTTAGGGCAAATCTACAAATTACCAATCCTTAACACTTTACAGTGGAAAGGAATGTCTCTGGACTATAAATTCTGTGACTACTGCCGCAACAGTCTTTTGGGGTAAAATGGGAGGTCATGGATAAGGTTTTGGCTGGCTGTTTGAGATCCATTACTTTAATCTGTCTGTTCATTCTCAACTAGAGTTGCCAGATCCATGTTGGGAAACGCCTGGGGATTTGAGGGTGGAGCCTGGGGAGGACGGGGACCTCAGGGGGGGTACAATGCCACAGAGTCCACCCTCCAAAGCATCCGTTTTCTCCAGGGAGACTGCCCTCTGTAGTCTGGAGATGAGCTGTAATTCCAGGGGATCTCCAGGCCCCACCTGGAGGCTGGCATCCCTACAGTCTCAACCTAACTGTTCTCCAACCGTGCCACGTGCTGAGCCCTCTTATACGAGTCTGCCGCCGCCATATCCCCCGCCCACTATTCTCTCTTTTAGGATCTGAGTAGCTGCCTGTGCAGGCAAGGCGGGATATAAATCAAAATTAGTAAATAAAAAGCTTTGCCAGTGGCACCCCGGGACCCTTTGCCTGCCCTTGGTCCCTCTGGCATTAAGGTTGCCTGACAACCAGCTGCTGCCAGGATCTTCATTCATCACAGATCTCATGCTCACAGCCCATAGTTCTTTGGAGGAAAAATAGTGTGCAGGTGCGATGATAACCTTTAAACGAGGATACCAAGGTGGGATGGGCTAGGAAAGACACCCTGGGCTATAGGATTAAATAGGCCACTGGTTCATCAGTTTAAACCGTGGTCTACAGATTGGTAGAAGCATGGACAATGGAAGGACTTTCTTTGCTTCTGGACAGTTGCATGTGGTAGTTGGGGGTGAACTTCTGTGGGGTGCCACTTGAACGCCCGTCTGTCTTCTTCTTCTCAGCTACACAATTGCTTCAGGCTGCTTGTGGAAAACTACAGGAAGCTGGGCTTGTTAGAGGAGGCTCTCCAGGCTGTGGTACTGTGGCTGGTCACACAGCACAACAAGATCACGGAGCAGATGGCGGAACCGGTCTCCTTCTGGCTGAAAGTCAAGATGGATGCCAGCAAAAATGGGGCCGATGACCTCAGACTAAAGTAAGATTGAGGCTGAGCCAATTGAGGAAGGGGGTGAGGAAAGGATACGATTCTTAAAACAGGGATGGCTATTTGTCTGGTATTGCTTAAAACTAGCCATTGGGGAGTAACACTTAGATCTGTCCTGCTGTGCCTTTGAGGACGTTTACGACTCTTAGGAATTCTTTGCTGTCCATAGTGTTCCCCCCCCCCCCAAGAGACAAAATCTGGCAAAACTCTCCCCTTTTTGCTTGACTGGGGGAAAGAAAGTGCAATCCTGAAGGAATCCTGGCACTCCTTGCCATTGAGATGATGGTGGGAGGGAAACAAAAGAGGAAATGGGGACCGGTGCACCTTTTCTTGCCAGTGAAGACCTCCACCCAGCCTGTGGGCTCCATGACTCCTGATGGTGGAGCTAGATGTTGCTTTTGCCTAGCTAGCAGGGCTTCTGATTGGCTATGCAGATTAACAGGCATCGTTCCCTGATAATTTGTGATCAACTCCACCTCCTGTGGCAGCCATTTTGTGACTGTGCCCACTGCCATGTGTGAAAATTCCATAGGTGCCCGCGGGCTGAAAAAGCTTGGAGCACCCTGACCTAGAACTATACTCGGGATCCCTGTTGCTTTACTTAAAGTGTATTGTGACTTCCCATACTAAATGAAATCCTCTGCTAATAAAGTACAGACTTTTTGCCTTTAACTAGAAATTCCCAATCTGTTTTTCCTAATTTCAGAGAGATTTCTAACTGTTGGTTACAAGGAGCCACTAAGTAAGAACATAAGAGAAGCCAATGTTGCATCAGGCCAATGGCCCATCCAGTCCAACATTCTGTGTCTCACAGTGGACATTACCCAGGTGCCCTCAGGAGGTCCACCAGCAGGGCCAGAACTTCAGAAGCCCTCCCACTGCCCCCCCAGCACCAAGAATACAGAGCATCACTTGCCCCAGACCGAGAGTTCCTATCTATACCTTGTGGCTAATAGCCACTGATGGACTCTGATCCATATGTTTATCTAATTCCCTCTTGAAGCCGTCCATGCTTGTAGCCACCACCACCTCCTGTGGCAGTGAATCCCATGTGTTAATCATTCTTTGGGTGAAGAAGGACTTCCTTTTATCCGTTCTAACCCGACCGCTCAGCAATTTCATTGAGTGCCCACGAGTTCTTGTATTGTGAGAAAGGGAGAAAAGTACTTCTTTCTCTACCTGCTCTATCCCACGCATAATCTTATAAACTTCTATCATGTCACCTCTCAGTCTTCATTTCTCCAAGCTAAAGAGCCCCAAGCACTTTAACTTTTCTTCATAGGGAAAGTGTTCCAACCCTTTTATCATCTACCGGTAGTTGCCCTTTTCTGCACTTTTCCCAATAATCCTGAGCATAGTGTTGGCTTTTTTAATCGCAGTCGCACACTGTCTCGACATTTTCAGTGAGTTATCTACTACTATAAATCTATAATTCTAGTCCTCCAAAGCTCTGAATGTGTCACCTCTTGGCAGTGGGTGAACAGGGCTGCTTTCCCCCCTTCTTCTTCGTGTAAAGATTGATAGGAGCCCACATGGGTAGAATTCAACAGTTGTCTGCCCCAGTCAGAAATAGAGAGTGAAGACCAGGCCTACACAGAAGCATCAAACATTAGGTGTGGTATGTGGGCCAATGGTTTTGGCAGACATGGCTAGAGATGTAAAACTTCCAGAAATGTTAAACAACATGGGGGGGACACACTCAATAGTTTTTGGGGGGAATCATTGCAATCATTGACTTCCAATCAAACCTAAACTTCTTTTGACACTTTAAAAGATAAAATGCGGCATCTCTAATTTGGCATATAAAATTATACTAATTGGCATGTTTATGGGATTTTTAAAAAATGCTTTCTAGAAGTAAAACAGCAAATAACCAGAGAGATTTCTAACTGTTGGTTACAAGGAGCCACTAAGTAAGAACATAAGAGAAGCCAATGTTGCATCAGGCCAATGGCCCATCCAGTCCAACATTCTGTGTCTCACAGTGGACATTACCCAGGTGCCCTCAGGAGGTCCACCAGCAGGGCCAGAACTTCAGAAGCCCTCCCACTGCCCCCCCAGCACCAAGAATACAGAGCATCACTTGCCCCAGACCGAGAGTTCCTATCTATACCTTGTGGCTAATAGCCACTGATGGACCTCTGATCCACATGTTTATCTAATTCTCTCTTGAAGCCGTCCATGCTTGTAGCCGCCACCACCTCCTGTGGCAGTGAATCCCATGTGTTAATCACTCTTTGGTGAAGAAGGACTTCCTTTTATCTGTTCTAACCCGACCGCTCAGCAATTTCATTGAGTGCCCACGAGTTCTTGTATTGTGAGAAAGGGAGAAAAGTACTTCTTTCTCTACCTGCTTTATCCCACGCATAATCTTATAAACTTCTATCATGTCACCCCTCAGTCTTCATTTCTCCAAGCTAAAGAGCCCCAAGCACTTTAACTTTTCTTCATAGGGAAAGTGTTTCAACCCTTTTATCATTCTAGTTGCCCTTTTCTGCACTTTTTCCAATAATTCCGAGCATAGTGTTGGCTTTTTTAATCACAGTCGCACACTGTCTCGACATTTTCAGTGAGTTATCTACTACTATAAATCTATAATTCTAGTCCTCCAAAGCTCTGAATGTGTCACCTCTTGGCAGTGGGTGAACAGGGCTGCTTTCCCCCCTTCTTCTTCGTGTAAAGATTGATAGGAGCCCAGATGGGTAGAATTCAACAGTTGTCTGCCCCAGTCAGAAATAGAGAGTGAAGACCAGGCCTACACAGAAGCATCAAACATTAGGTGTGGTATGTGGGCCAATGGTTTTGGCAGACATGGCTAGAGATGTAAAACTTCCAGAAATGTTAAAACATGGAGGGGGACGACACACACACAATAGTTTTTTGGGGGAATCATTGCCATCATTGACTTCCAATCAAACCTAAGCTTATTTTGACGCTTTAAAAGATCTCTAATTTGGGATAAATATGCCAATTATACTAATTGGCATATTTATGGGATTTTTAAAAAATGCTTTCTAGAAGTAAAACAGCAAATAACACCAAGCCCCTGAGACAGCATTGCAGATTGCTGAACCCTTATGCTCCCTTACCACATGTACCACACATATTTGCCATTTGAGGGGAAAAACTGATCTTGGGGAAGACAGAGCCAGTCTCGTGCAGTTGCAGGGGTAGCACTACCAGCATCTCTGGATATCAAGTTGAACTCTGGAACACTGAACAACAAGAACACTGAAACCAAGGAACTCTTTAACTTATCAAATGCATTATAGCATATTCATTGCCCAAATTGTTCAGTTCAGCACACAGACTTGTAAAATATATTTTGAAGGATATGTTTGTAGTATGCATAGGTAAAAAGGTAAAGGTTCCCTTGCTCGAAAACCAGTCGAATCCCGACTCTAGGGTTGCGGTGCTTCTCTCCGTTTCAAGGCCGAAGAGCCAGCGCTGTCCGAAGACGTTTCCGTGGTCATGTGGCCGACATGACTAAACGCCGAGGCGCACGGAACGCTGTTACCTTCCCACCAAAGTGGTACCTATTAATCTACTTGCAATTTCTTGCTTTCGAACTGCTAGGTTGGCAGGAGCTGGAACTGGAGATGGGAGCTCACTCCGTCTTGCGACACCTGGGTCTCAAACTGCTGAACTACTGACCTTCCACAGCCTGCATAGGCATGACCATTATCCAGTGCTCTTGGTTGTCTTGTATAAAATTTTCCATGCTATCCATTTTGTTTTGAAATGTATTTCACTTATTCAAGAACACAAATATTTCATGGCAGTTTTTTCTCCCGTTCCCCCCCAAATTCCCACTTTGTCCATTGGGGAGGGGTAACTAGATATATCCTCCCCCCCATCCCCCGGGCCTTCACATTGCTTGACATGGCCAGTTTCAATACTGCTACCTGCTGCCCATATTACTTATTATGTCAGTAGCTTCTGTGAATCGGTGTTCAGTTTTATCAGATCGACATGTACAGTGGGCTCCCAAAGCATTGGAGGTTTAGGTGCACAGTCTCCTGACAAGCGTTGCTCAACTGTACCCAGAATGCCTAAGTGATAAGAGAAATGCTGATCAGTGTTTAGGCCTATTCTCTGGGTCATAAGGAACTGCCTTATGAAGGGTCAAGATGGACAAAATACTTTTCAAAGCATACAATTACCTTATGAAATTCACTGTCGCAGGATGTGGGAATGACCGCTAGCTTAAAAAAAAAAAGAGAGAGTGGTTTATAGGCTAATTTATGAGGGATCAGCTGACTGAAACTTAACCAGAACTGCAATGAATTGAGGCAACTGGGGCCTCTGAATGCCGGAGACCCAAGGGAAAGATGGCTGCCAGTGTTTTCATAGCCTGAATTGAGCCTGGTGGCACTTTCAGAAATGGAATGCTTTTCCAGGTGAGCCTTGGTCTGATTTGGCAAGGCCTAGTAAAGTTCTTCTAACCATTCAGCCTGCAGTGTTTAGATGGTTCCTCCATCTTGACTCTGTTATAACTTGTGTTCCTGACTGGAGTGTGTGTTTACAGGACTCTGAAGGAGGGCCTGGACGGATGTCACTTGGCCCCTGAGGTTCTGCTGAAAGTGCTGTTGGAGGAACTGAAGGCCTACAAGGGTGTGCGAGCTGACACCGGCCAAGAGCGCTTCAACGTGATCTGTGACCTACTGGACATATGCTCAGAGGGCAGTAGCTTGGTACATGAGCGGGCTGTGATCCTGATAGAACTGGCTCAGGTGCTGTGTTACCATGACTACACGGAGCAGACAGAATGGTGAGTGGCCTGAGCCGGCTGGGGCTGCTGTTATTACCTGTGTTGGAGACCCAGAATTTATGGGAGGGTGTTCGTTTCTTTCTCTTCACATCATCTACGTATGGCGTTCAGCAGGGTGAGGTTTAAAAATTGAAGTCCCAAGGTCTCACTTGTGCTAATAATGCTGTTGCTGCGGTGTTGAGCCCTGCCCTCTGTTTCCCATATTCAGATTCTCCTTTCCTTCTCCTAACTAATAAGAGACTGGAGAATTTGGAATGGTAGGCATGGAATCAGAGATAGAAGGGTAATGCTGTTGGGATCGGCAGAGCTGTTGAGGGTAACAACAGGGTCTCAGTTAATTACTCTCAGCATTCCAGAATTCGGAAGAATACATTTACATATCTGTCTCCAATTTTGACATATTTGCTTCACTCTGTTTCCCCCCCGGAATTAAATCCAAACAAATGGTGGCCATATGAACTAAGCTGCTTATTCCTGTTTGGTCATCGCATCTGTTAAACATCTTCATTATGTTGTATGCTAATCTGCTGCTCACACTCTAGCTATATGTATGGACTGGTAACTTCCTTTTCAATGTATCTGAGGGAGTGTGCGTGCACACAAAAGCTTATACCTTGAAGAAAACTTTGTTCGTCTTAAGGGTGCCACTGGACTCAACTTTTGTTCGGTTGCTTAAGAGGTAAGTATTTCCTGTTGTGCTGCTATATTAAAAGCCGTGACAGTGCAATGCAAGCGATTGGTCAGAAAAAGATAAAAGAGGGGCCTCTATAATTAGCCTCTTGCAACTAGAAAAAAGTACAGTGAAACTTAATGATGTTGCATAAGCTGATGGTGGTAATCTGGATGGGTATATTGACCGAGGTCAAGGTAGAACACACTAATATTCCACACCACAAAAATTCAAATTGAGTGCTTGCAACCATTCTCCTGTGAATATGACCATTTAGCTCGGTCCTTTCTTAACTTGCTGGTGTTTGTTCCAAAGCCCATGCCTGAGTTGTTGCAGAATCCTGGCACTCTAGCAAGAGTCAGTAATGACAAGGCAGGAGCCAGAGCTTTTAACTATGGGTTATAAGCAATGCTCCCTCTAAGCTGTGGAGTCTTGTGAGCAAAAATTCTCCTTTGTGAGCTGCTGGCATTAAAGTTGTGAGCGAGCAATTTGGCTACTGCATATATTAGTTTGCTCTGGAGCCCTCCTTCCTGAGTTAAGACAAAAATCTGTGAGCCGGAAGCTAAAAAACTGTGAGCTAGCTCACACTAACTCAGCTTAGAGGGAACACTGGTTATAAGCAAGCATGGGATGAATGCGCACCTCTCCCCAAAGGAGGGGGAGGGTAGATATGCATCACCCTGAGCTCTGTCTTCTGAACACCAGAAGTTTCTGCTATAAGCCAAAATTGTATTTTCCCCCAAATGTCTTCGTGACTGGGCCCTAGAAATTTGCTATTTGGGAGCAGGTGAATAGCTCTCAGGGAGCACCCATGCATCTAGTTTGGTTCCAGGTACTGGCTTGAATCCAGGCAAGCATTTCTGCAGGTTGAAAGGAGCCCGTGGAGCATGACTTTCCTGCCTCCACCCATCCACAACAGCCAAAAATTCCCTCCAAAATCTTGTTCAGGGTGGACATTTCAGGCTGTTGTGGGACAGGGTGGAGGCAAGGAAATTTTGCTCCATGAGCAGAGATCTTTGTGGCCTTGGAAATGCTAGTCTGGACCAATCCACTCTTCACATGGAATTGTAGAACATGATTAATTCTTGTCTTGGCAATGCTGATAGCTGGATTTGCGTGCAAAGCACAACTCTTTTTGACTAGTACTTGCAATGCAGAGTGCAGACTTTTGAACTGTGTGTAAAAATTCCTCTTTGGCCTGGATATTCAGGGTAACCTAAACTTAACCCATGTCTGCAGATTTCTTAAAGTTCCATAATGGCAAGAAGAAATCTTTTGAGCGGCGATAGTAACAGGCCAAGAGTTTCTTTTGATACAGGCATATCTTTGAATTTGCTGACACGCACACAATCTTCTACTCTTCCTTAACCTTCAGCTTCAAAGTGAGCCATGCATAACTCAAAAGCTTGCATTTTGCATTTAGGTCTCGCAAGACTTCAGAACTGTGTTTGCAGAGAAGGCAGATGGTAGGCCCTGGATTCATCCTGGCTGGTACAATTCTTAGACTTAGACATGGGTAAAATGCCTATGGTAAGGGTAAATAGCTGTTGTACTGCAAACTGACTATGGCTTGTCCCTACTAAGTTAGCTTTCTGCATCTGCAGAACGAGTGTCACAGCTTGTGCCAAAGGATTTCGCTGCCCATTTATGCCAGGTGCTTGGCTAAAGCTCAGTCTCTCCTTCCCTAGCTCTGCCCTGGATTCTGTCCGCGAAGCCCTGCGACTGCTAGACTTGGTCCCTAGAACTCCCCGGAATGAGGAACAGCTCCAGGATGACAAGGCTCAAGCCCTGCTCTGGCTCTACATCTGCACGATTGAGAACAAAATGCATGAGGTGAGTGGCAGGAAGGTAGTCCTCAAGGCTTTCCCCTTTCTGGGTGGATCTGTAAGCTGCTGCAGTGGCTTGGGAACTGAGAGCCAGTTTGGTGTAGTGGTTAAGAGCCTGGGTGGCTTTTGGCCAGTGGTTACTTGCTCTTGTTTTTGGCTATTCTTTGCCCTGTAGAAAGCATGGGATTTCCCCCCCATAGGAAATAATGGAGGGTGTCAGGGGAAACCTTGTTCAGGGGCCCATGGAACTGGACTCCTTGGTTCAATTCACTTGAAACTTGGGTGTTCTTTAGTGGAGAGACAACATCGGTTCTTCGGCAATGATGACGACCTTGGGTCAAAAAATTGCCCCTTCAGCCCCCGTGGAAAAGTTTCCCATAGAGAATAATGGACCTGAATAATTTCAGAATTTCCGTCCCCAAAATCCAAATACTGAACCAGTATTGGAGTAATCTGGAATACAGATGATTATGCCCTCCATGGAATCTGGATCTTTTTTCTGGTCCCCATTCCTATGAGGAGCCGTTAACACAGACAAGACTTTTCTGTTGTGTTAGAATGCTTATTCCTGATTTTCATCTTGCTTTGTTTTAATTGCTGTTGATGTAGGTGGGCTATCTGTAAACGCATGGAGCTTATTTTTAAACGAATTTAACCGTTTTAAAACACAGCCCTAGTTAGTGCCGGTTACATGTGCCATGGTTGTTCAGGTCAGTGAACATACTGAGGCCTCCTTACCCTAGGCTGTGTCGCAAAGAGCACTGGGCGGAGATGGCTGGAACCCCCCATAGCCAGTGTGGTGTAGTCAGGGCTCTTTTTGTAGAAAAAGCCCAGCAGGAACTCATTAGCATAGTAGGCCACACCCAACAGCAGGAACACATTAGCCTATTGGGTCACACCCCTGACAGCACAGCTCATTAGCACATTAGGCCACACCCCCATGTTACCAGAAGTGTGGTTATCCAGCCACATCCACCTTTTGCTTGTTATTCTGTTTACCTTGTTTGTTGTCAAAACCCAGGGCTTTTTTGTAGCAGGAACTCCTTTGCATGGTAGGCCACAGACCCCTAATGTAGCCAATCCAAATGAGTTTCTGCTGTTGGGTGTGGCCTATTATGCTAATGAGTTCCTGCTGGGCGTGGCCAACTTGGGAGCCAGCCGGAACTCCGTTCCTGTGCCTTCCTGCCCAGCTGGGTGTAGTGGTTTGGAATCTCCACGCTGCCGCAAAAGCATAAATACAATTTTTTGCTGTCAAGTCACAGCTGATTTATGGCAACCCTAGAGGGTTTACAAGGCAAGAGACGCTCAGAGGTGGTTTGCCATTGCCTGCCTCCACATCACAACCCTGGTATTCCTTGGTGGTCTCCCACCCAAATACTGACTAGGGCTGACCCTGCTTAGCTTCCCAAATCTGATGAGATCGGGCTAGCCTAAGGTACCTAAACCAGATTAAATTAACTGTCCCGAGAGTGCTGTGCAGGAGGCATCATCAAAGCTCTTCTTTTTCCTGACTACAGAGCAATAAGCAAGAACAAAGAACCAAAAACAGCCGCGCCCAGGAACTAAAGACTTCACGGGTTCTCGAAGGCGTGGAGACAAACGATCTCGGCTATGAGGACAAGACCCAGGATGACAAGTTCCTGTATCTTGGCATCGCATTTAACCTGTCTGCGGATTCTGGTGAGCAGCTTGTTGCAAATGGGGGGTGAGTTGGTGGGTTTAAAATTCATACTGCATAGTAAATGGAGAGGAATAACTAGTAGAAACCAGGAAGGGTCATCTTAGTCCGGCCCTCTGCTTCAAGAGGAATTCTCTATGCATTAACCTGTGCTCTCTGGGCTTTGCCCTGTCAACATAGGTGGCCCCCAAGAAACGTGGTCTCACCTTGCATGGTGATGGCTTTCAAATCATGGGTTTCCTAGGACAAATAAAACACAGATGCTCTGTATCTAAGCTTGTCTCTCCCTACAGAAGCTGAAATCTTCCGAACTGTTGTGTCCACGCTGGCACAACATGGCTCTTATTCCCCCCCCCCCCTTGTTTGTTCTTGAAGGTGTAAGACAGAAACTCCGTCACGGGTTGTGCTTCCCCAGCCCAATTTGAGAAAGCACTTGGCAGTCTTGTAGAGTAGAATCCAGACTAAAAAAACTTTATTAATAAAGGAGGGAAAATACAGGTACAACAAGGTTTTGAATCCTCGAATACCCACAGCTCTTCCCTAAGGTTACAATGGGAGACATGGAGTTTTAAACCCGTTATGACGCTTTGCAAATAAATCATAATTATTGGTTCCATCAAGCTTTGTCACATATCTGTCACACCATTGTGATTGGGCCCAGACCTGTGTGCTGGATTTTCTCAAGCGAAAATGTGCCTCCTTCATTTAAACAATGGGCCTTCTTCTTCCCAGGCTATGAAATTCTAAAAGTATCTAATGTAGCAGATATGGGTACATAGTGGTATGTTCTCCATCTAACGCAAGCGAGCTGACATCAGGAACATGCTCAGTCACAGCTAGCCATCAGGAGCAAGGTCATAAGCAATCAGTTAATGCCTGTCAGCATTTAGTATTTTTCCCAGAATGCATTTAAGCATTGAACCAAAGTGAATACCTGAATATATATTCATAATTGATTTCTATCTCTGTAATTAGAATCATCAATGGCACTTAACATATCTGTATGTCTGTGTATGTCATAGGTGCTAACTGAGTCCACTAAGGTTAGTCTACTAAGGCAGACAGAGTGCTGAGTGCATAACAGTGTCACATATAAACTGTGCGTACTACAAAGGTGACTTTGATGCCTTCATGTTTCTCTTTGCACGCAGCAAGGCTATTTAGACTGCTTTCTAGTGGCCAAGGGTTGGTCCTGCCTGCTGTTACCAAAAGTAGCTTGGCTATTCCTCCATGCCACAAAACTGTTTCACATCTAGGGCAGGCAGAAGGAGGGACTGATTCTCGCACTTTTGTAAAGGCATGCACCAGTTTTATTCTCTAGCCCTCACCACTTGGTTGCAAGGAGGCAAATGTCAAATCGGGAGGGGTGGGAATAAACTTTAAAATATGGAATGGGTGTAAAGCCTAGTCTGGTTTGGTCTTGCATTTTTGTTGCTTTTTGAGAAGTTCAGTCTCTTACGAACTGCAGATGGGCTGTTGAACCTAATGGTAGAGCTGTGGCTCACTGGTGCATCATCTGTCTGGAATGCAGAAGGTCCCAAGTTCAATCCTCAGCACGTTCAGGCAAAATAATCAGGTAGCTGTTGATCTAAAAGACCTCTAACCTCAGACCCTGGAGAGTGTCTGCTAGTCAGTGGAGACAATACTGACCTCGATAGACCAGCAGTCTTGGTAGAACCCTATCTGGACTGTACCACTTGCTTAACACACTCTTCCCCTCACAGAAACATTCTTTGCAGAAAACTAGATGTTTTCTTTGCAGAAAACTAGATCTTCCAGAAAACTGGACAAAATAAGTGTCATTGAAAACAAAATAGACGGTTAGGGAGTTTATTCAGGAACAGAACAGACTATGATTGTAGGGAGAAACTCTTGGGAGAGAATCCCAGCGAGGTCTAGAAAACAGCAATTTAAATCAATCCTTATACAAGAGGATCGTTGACACACGCACACACATCTGACAAGTGTAAACTAAGAACAATGCCTGGCTTATTGCTCCAGAGACAAGACAAGATGAGGGTTGGTTATAGCCGGTTCCTGAGGTCAGGATGTCCTGCTTAAGTGTGGATTACGCAGGATTCCTTGGTGCCTGGCTATTACCCATAATTCTCTTTATGTATTAGATTTATTCTTATGTTCTCTGTGTTAGATTCATTCAGAAATATCCAAGATAGTGGAATACATTCTTGTTTGGACCAACCACATTGTTGCTGATCAGTCAGCAGACATCTGAGTTTGGAAGGTGTAGGGATTTTTCATTGTGTTTTCCCTTCCCTCCTGCTGTCTGAAATGGTACAGTCAAAATGCAGATACGACCAATGGTTTGCTGGCCTAGCAGTCAAAATGCAGATGTGACTGACAGTTTGCTTGCCTAACATTCCTGCAGTACTTGCACGGCCTCCCTGCATTCATACATGCTTTAGGTTGTGTTTTGTAAGCCGTCTTGAGCTATGAGAAAAAGCGGGATATAAACGTTTAAATACATAAACACATACATGCTAAAGGGGCACCACATGTCACCACTTCCACCACTGTTCAAAAGTAAATATTAAATTTCCACTTGTTGCTTACTTTAGGCCTAACTGTTTTAGCAGTTTCCGATGACAAAATGGGTCTCAGGTGTGATGGTTCAGGCTCTGGCTGTTGCGTACAGAATTGGGTTTGGAAACATAGCCCTCAAGGGAAGCAGCGGGACCCTCTGACCTTCTGGCCCAACATTGTCCCTGTCCGTCCCTTTCAGCGCAATCAAAGGGCTTGGATGACGCCTGTGACTTGTGGAAGCAACTCCTCAGCAAAGGCCGGGTCCCAGGTGTGAGAAGCGTCGAGCAGACAATGGCATCCCTGCACATCATGGCCGGCCTGTACAGGATGATGGGAAAGGTAATGGAAAGTGGGCAGTTTCACCTTTGGAAGAGGTCTGTAACTCCTCCCCTCCCCTGCTTCCTGGAACTTTTCTCCTGAACCCTCCTCTGCCCACAGTCAAGGCCCAGGTTGCCATCACTTTGGCAGCAGATTTATTTAGTACACTTTCAGCCCACCGTTCTCCAAGGAGCTCAGGGCAGTGTACTTTGATCTCTCCTCGTCCATTTCACCTCATAACCATCCTGTGAGGTAATCTAGGCTGACAGAGACGGTGACTGGCCGGCCTAAGGTCAGTCAGCAATGTGGAAAGTAAAGTTTTGAAACTCACCAAAAAAGTTATTAATTATCGTGTGGCATTGTGTGTTGAATAGCCAAGAGATCCTAAGATCGTCTGGCAGTCAGAAGCACTAGCTCTTTTTGCATTATGCACCACTAGGTGGTGAGCTAGATTTGTTTTTAAGGCAAGAGATGTTTCAGAGGTGGTTTGCCGTTGCCTGCCCCTGCATCAGGCCCTGGGTATTCCTTGTAGGTCACCCATCCAAATAATAGCCAAAGCTGGCCCTGCTTAGCTTCCGAGATCTGACGAGATCAGGATAACCTGGGCTATCGAGGTCAGGGCACCGAAAGGAAGTAAAAAGAACACACAGCCTCTGTGTGTGTGTGTGGGGGGGAACACCCTTTCAAAACAGTACAAAAAAGTATGTCTTTGGATGCTTCCTGAGTCGTCTAAGTCACAACCACATTCATGGCAGCTCTGCAGTTGTCTCTCGGTAGGTTGGCCTTGTAGCCTGTGTAAACTAGATGGCGTACTGTCACTTCTGCCTTGCAGTTGGCATGGCAACACCTGTGTTCAGCAGCACAGAATGGCCAACGGCTGCAAGATTTGAGAGCTTTATCTAGCCATCTTGAACTTTAATGAGGGCATTCTTTTAGAAATATATTCTGCTCTGTCTTTTTTTTGGGGGGGGGGTTGCTTAGAAGCAGCAGCAGCAGCATGTGTTTTATATAAACTTTGTGCATGAGAGGAATAGAGTATTCTGGGAAGGCAAACGTTGTGTGTCCGTGAGAGAAAGAAAGGGAAGCGTTGCTGGTCCAAAAGAGAAATCCAAAAAACCCAGAACACAGATCCACATAATACCTTTTATTAAGACCAACCAAAGGGAACATGACAGGGTGCAAGCATCTGAGTTCTCCAGAACTCTTCTTCAGCCTGGATGTTAAAACATATTTTGTCACAGCAAAATAGGAGAAACTGTCAGAAAGACTTCACACATCCTGACCTAGTACCTTTAACATTCTGCAGAATTATATTCTGCTGAATATTAGGGAGGACTGCCAGACGCAGCTTCATTCCTCACCCCACTCCGTCTGATGACTCAGGGCAATCGCTGCTGCATGCCTGTGATGATCTTTCAAGCTAGAGAGAACTTGGACCACAAGGGGAAAGGCACTGGATTCTCCCTGGGGGTGGGTGGGTGGGTCTCAGAACACAGAAGCTGCGCATCTCTGCTCCTCCCTCACCACCCTGCTTCCTGTCTCCTGTCCCACAGCCGCTACAAGCCATCGAGAGCTACTTCCTGATCTCAGAGCTCTCTGGTGCCCTTGCAGATGCTCTCGGGACGACCAACGCGTTGTGTCAGATCGCCAAGCTGTTCTTCCAGCTAGAGTGTCCCGTTTACGCAGAGGTAAGCTTTGAGAGCAGCTGGGGTAGCAACAGGTCTCGCAGAGAGACTGTTGCCCACTCCTGTATATAAATGAGCAGCTGCCGTGTGCGGGCTCAGACCACTGGTCTGTCTAGCTCTGTGCAGTTCTCTCGGAATGCAGCCGTCCAAGGTCCTGCCCTGCTATCGGAAGCCCCTGTGCTAGAGGCCTGTAATTGAAACGGGTTCCCTGTGCTTGCAAAGTTAGGACTTCTTCCTTAAGGTCTAAGTCCACCCCCACCCCACCCCCACCGGCATATGGAGGAGTGGATCTGAACCCACTTTGTCAAGCTGTAGGTAGCTGCCATAAGCTCGCTATGGTGTAAGCTGCTGTGTTTTGGGCCCGTTCTGCGTTAAAGGAATGGGAGCCAAGTTCTAGGTCCATTTCGTGCCATCCCTTCTCCAAGGAGTTTTGGGGCAGGGTGTACATGAGTTCCATGACCTTCCCATTGCTACAGTCAACTGAAGTCTGAGCTTTAACAGTCCCAACGGATGACCTGTTTTTTTCCCCCCCATTAACATATTTTTTTGTTCCGGTTTTTCTTCTAGATGGTCCTGAAGGAAGCGGAGTCCTGCTGGCAAAGCGTTGACCGAAGCAAAGACTCTGCCTTGCTGACAAATCAAATGCTCGCTGTCCTCCGAAGCAGATTGTGCTTGGTGAATGGCAAGGTAGCTTATGTGACATGCAGCCTTGAATACATCCAACAGCGCTGAATCTAGCGCACTAGTCTTAATTTGTTTTTTCAAACACTACTTTATGCCGGGTAAGAAGAGGAAGATAGGAGAGGCAAGTCTAGAAAACAATATTTGTGCACCCTTGGCCTCTGCAGGGGTCTAAAGTGGAGGGGGGGTAGTAGACTATTCTCAGACTAAGCCCTTAACCTAGTTACTCACTTCAAAGCAGATGGCTGCCAATAATCTCTCCTTCTCTAGTTCTAGCTTGAGAACTCTCTCTCAGGGCTGAGTAGGAATTTGAATGCTGGTCTCCTTGATCTAAGTCCAATGGTATTCACTAGCCACGCTAGCTTTTGATTCCAGTGGTCCTGTGAATTAGTGACTTCTCTGGGCTTTGCGCATACAAGGGGGTCAGCTTGTTTCTGCAATCCGTGTGCAGTTGGAGCCTCAGCCTGTGAGGGCAAAGCTACCCAAACTGAGTGGATCCTGAAGAAGACATGAGTGGCTTCCTCCACCGATAGTCCTTGCTGCTAGGGTAGAGTCTTAATCCTTGTCATAGCTAAACTGCCTTTCTACCTTGTTCGAGATTTGCTCAGGTTTGGATGCCTTTTGTTTGAGTTTTAGCCACTTTACAATTTCTGGGGGGAAAATATTGGGAATAGAATGTAGGCTGATCCATAAATGGTTGCCGCAGCAGCTAATCGCTGGCTGTCTTGGTTTAAATTGGCTGTCTCCACACTTTCTAAGCCTGCAGGAACCTTTGGAATTTTCAGAGGGGGGTGGTGAGTTTTACCCCAAAATGGCTGCCAGAAGAGGTGGGTCCAGACTCAAAATGGCTGGAGCCAAGTGGGATACCTCCCTCCTCCTACCTCCTGGTAAGAAGGAAGGCCTGAATGGGAAACAGAACCACACTCTAAGGAAAACCCCTGTGCTCAGCAGTCCTCTTGATCCTCTAGTAGGAAATCATTGCAATGAGGAGCAGCCAATAAAAAGCTCTGCCTTACAGTGGCCCCACACACTTTCCAGCAAGCTCAGAGGGCTCCAAGGGGAAGTACTAGTAGGTGCAATAGTATCCGCAGGCACCACGTTGGGAAACCCTGGTTTAGAGAGCCATTGCTTTACTAACTGGCTGGTTTCATTGATTCCTCTCTCTCTCTCTCTCTCTTTTTTTTGAATTACAATTTTTATTGAGTTATTTAGTTAACAAACTGTGACAATAAATGTTAAGAGCAATCATAACAACATGTGAATAGGGGGGTTTTAACTTCCCCACCCCCTCGACAAATACATAACTACAGAACACTTGTACAGTCTATATGAGTATGCTGTCTCGAAAAATAGCTCACATTGCAAACTAAGAATGGTTGGAAGTGAGTGTAATATACACCAACTTAGTACGATGATCACCTTTTATCTCCTTAGAGAGGAAAATTAAAAATGTACCTCTCAATTTATAAAGAGGTAAAGGCTCTGTGCTAAAACCAAATCCTACCGAACTTGAGGCAAGGGTGATTGAAAAATTGTTTGTGATGGTAACAGTTGATCCCTCTTTTTCATGGGCAGGTTGAAGAAGGCCTCGGCCTGCTGCTAGAAAGCCTACAAAACCCAGCTTTGCAAAGGTCGTCTAAACTCTGGTACCTGCTCCGAGCCAGCACCCTCCAGTTAACAGCCGTGTATCTCGGTCTGCCTCCTTCCTCCCTTCCACTGGCACTCAGGCAAAAACTGTGCGCTCAAGGTGTGTACGGAGCTGTATGTATATTGAATCTTTGATCCACCCCGGCACTCATGGGGGACATGAATGGCTGATGAACAGAAGAGAGGGGACATCCTGCGTGCTTAGGAGGACCAGCTAGGCATCGCTTTGGAATAGAATTCCATCCCATATACAGAGGTCGATTCGGGGGGGATCGCGGGGGATCGCAGTTCCCCCGGGTGAGGTGCAGGGGGCGGGGCACATGATGAAGCCCCGCCCCTTCTTCCAGCCGCCCCCTGCTTCCAGCCTCATTCTGTTGCAGAAGGAGAAAGAAGCAGGAGGGTAAGTTGGCGTCCTCCCCCTCTGCCTGGCCGAGGCCACGTGGCCTCCGCAAGGACTCCCAGCCCCATCCAGGAGCTTCCCCAAGGTAGCTGTGTTAGTCTGTTGCTGCAAAATAGTCCAAGAGTTCAAATAGCACCTTTAAGACTAACCTTTAAGATTAAGACTAACTGAGTGGTGGGGGTGGCCTTATGACACACTTCCGGTGGTGTCAGGGGGTGTGGCCTTATGACACACTTCCGGTGGTGTCAGGGGGTGTGGCCTTATGACACACTTCCGGTGATGTCAGGGGGTGTGGCATATGCTAATGAGTAATGCTAATGAGTTCCCCTAGCTCTTTTTCTACGAAACGACCCCTCCCCATATACAAACTAAAAGAGCCAGTTTGGCGTAGTGGTTAAGTGCGTGGACCCTAATCTGGGAGAACCGGGTTTGATTCCCCACTCCTCCATTTGCACCTGGCTGGATGACCTTGGGCAAGCCGTAGTTCTGGCCCAGCTGTTCTCGAAAAAGAACAGTTTCTGTCGGAGCTCCCTCAGCCCCACCTACCTCACAGGGTGTCTGTTGTGGGGAGGGGAAGGGAAAGGAGATTGTAAACCACTCTGAGACTCCTTTGTGTAGTGAAGGTGTCAGGAGGGCTCCACGAGGGCCCTCCTGCAGTCCAAAGAATACAACATCAGTCAAGCGGCAACCCCCTTTGTGGCTTTAAAGAAGGACCTGGGATCCTGTCAGAGAGACCTGCCAGGGGAGGTCCAGTGGTCAAGGGAGGCGGAAGAGGCAGCAGCAGGGGATGGCGCAAGCGACAAGGAGCTGACCACGAGGTGGAAGGGTGGGTGGGGCAAGTTCACCCGTGGGTAGGAAGACGGAGGGAACCTGGGCATGGCTCCGTTCCTTTAAGGCCTGGATGGGGAGGGACCCAGGGAATTGAGGAGGAAATAAAGGCTGCAGCACATGGAAGCCAAGGAGGAATTGCGTAGTCTGGAGCAGAACGGCAGAATGAGGGAGTCGAGAACTGTTGTTCCTATTCACTCAAAGCTGCTAGCTCCGGGGAAGCCAGTGAGGACGGTGAGAGAAACCAGTCCCTCTGATTTCTGAGACAACCAGCCGAGCGTCTTTCCTCACCCTGGACACTGCTTTCCGTCCAGACGAGGTCCCGAAACAAGTGAGGTGTGATGGAAGGGTGGGGTATAAATCCAATCTCTTCTAAAAGCATCCAGTGGCAGATGACACTGGCCTTGAAGATGGCTTCTCTCCAAATTTGTCGATTGATTCATTAAAACATTTATATCCCACCTTCCTTCTTGGCAGCTTAGAATAGCAGTTTAAACATCCCCAGCTAACACCACACATGAAATAACAAACCCCGAGTCCCTCCCCCGTCCCCTTAAAAGATGCCTGCTATCAGGCCCAAAGCTACCATGTGCCCTGGGGGCGATGCCCCCTCACGAATATGCCCTGCTCCCCTGCCTCTCTTTCTCCCAGTCCCCCCTCCCCTTCCCCCAGGTTTGGTTCTGGGCACGCTGCTCTCGGTCGCTGCCATCCTGCGAGTGCAGCCGGATCACCCCCATGGGGAGCAAGCCGGAGGAGCCAGGGGAGCAAAAGGCTGAGCAGCAAGGCCAGCTGGAAAGGCAGGGAGGAGTGGATGAAGGTGGGCTGGCGAGCCCTGCCTCCTTCTCCACGCCCTTGCAGGGGGCCGGGCTGGCTTGTGGGCTGCTGGGCCATGCTGCGACCTGCCCCCCGGGAACCGGTAGAGAAAGAGGTACTTTTCTCCCTTTCTCACAATACAAGAACTCGTGGGCACTCCATGAAATTGCTGAGCGGTCGGGTTAGAACGGATAAGAGGAAGTACTTCTTCACCCAAAGATTGATTAACACATGGAATTCACTACCACAGGAAGTGGTGGCGGCTACAAGCATGGACGGCTTCAAAAGGGAAGTAGATAAGCACATGGAGCAGAGGTCCATCAGTGGCAATTAGCCACAAGGTATAGATAGGGGCTCTGGGGCAAGTGATGCTCTGTCTTCTTGGTGCTTGGGGGGGTGGGGTCAACAGTGGGAGGGCTTCTAATGTCCTGGCCCCACTGGTGGACCTCCCGATGGCACCTGGTATTTCTGGCCACTGTGTGACACAGAGTATTGGACTGGATGGGCCTTTGGCCTGATGCAACATTGGCGTCTCTTATGTTCTCTTATGTTCTTAACTCTGGTCCCACTCTGAAGCTGAGAGATCAGCCAAGGGTGGGAGCCAGAGCAGCAAGAGGGGGAGGCGAACGAACAAAGCTGGGCTGCAAGTGGGGAGCCCCGCTTTGAAGGAGGCCCTTGCCTGGCGTGCCTGACTGCTACCGTTCATGGGTGTTTAACATTCTAGCTTTTGATGTTCTAAAATTTATGTTCTTACGATTGTGCGCTGTCTTGTGAACCTCTTAAAAAGCTGGCAGACTGTCGGTACTGCTTGCATATGATGGACGTTTCTCTCAGTGAGGGAACAGCAACGACAGACGAATTTGTACTGGAGATAACCTCTCCCACCCATGTAGCTTGCTCCTTGAAATGTACAGCCGCTTGGCATATGCTGTAGAGCCCACGGCATTGCGGAGCCCTGGCTAGGCCCTGTAGGTCTGTCCCGTGCCCTGGGTGGATCATCCGTGTGTCTTCAGTTCCTAGATCTCTGTAACATGTAATGGTCCCATAGCAGAGGCCTAGGGGGTTCCTTGTAGAAAGAACTGCCTTGAAGCAAGACAGTGGGAAAGCAGTGGTGCTAATATATCCTGCACTTCTCTCTCTCTCTCCATAGGGTGGAAGACCCCCGAAACTGCTCTGAGTGATGCCCACAAACTCTACCGCAGCATTATTTCTAACTTCTTGTTGATCAGCAGTGAGAAATCCACTAAAGATGTTCTGGACCATCTGTTTGTAGATCATGGTAAGGAGAGACCCGTTTTCTGTGAAAGTGTGTGGAGACTCTTGTTGTCTCTTAATTCTTGTTGTCTCTTAATTCTTTCCCTGCACAGAAGTCAAAAGTAAAAAACTTGCTTTTGCTTGCTCATTTCTATAACGATGGCTGAGACTGTGTAGGTGAAAAAATGTAATCAGACCTGCCTTGCTTGTAAACAACAGTGGTAATAATAATTATGATTGCATGCCAGTGTGTATAGTATAGCCAGGAGAGTCTAGGTTATTCTGGCAGCCAAAAAGATGTGACTGGGGAGGGGTTCTGCAAAAAAAATAATCCACAATTCTGCAGTTGGAGCGCATGCAGTTGCAGAGTTTGGTGTTCGCTGCAGAATTCAGCATCTTACTTGAATAATCTACTTGAAATTAACAAAATAGACAGCATCCTTAAACTGTGAATGGTTTTAAGTGGGATGGGACTACTGAAGCTGCTCTGCATACCTTTCTCTCCTCCCCACCTCTTCCTTCTCAGGTGACAACCTTGTGCAGAAGTGGCAGGTGCTGGCTGACATGTTTGTTTGTACCGAAACGTTTGTCTCCCTTCTTAGCAAGATAGAGACTGTAAGTGAAGCAAAAGCGTTCTGCCTGGAAGCTCTCAAAATCTCCATGAAACTGCAGTCCCTCCGATGGTAAGGCCATTTGAACAAACGCCATCTTGCGTACATACGACCAGGGGAAGGGGAACTGCAGCAAACGGGAATTGACTTGTTTCCTGGCATGCCTATTACCTTTTTCTAATGTACAGATCGGGGAGTTTTGTTAGTAGCATGAATTCTGCATTGCGGAGAGAGTCCATGGCTCAGTGGTAGAGCATCTGCTTGGCATGGCAAAAAGTCCCAGATTCAATTCCTGGAATGTCCAGTTCAAGGGATATGTCAGTAGGGGATGTGAAAGACTTCTGCCAAAGATCCTGGAGACAAATGTGGACGATCACGACCTGGTCTAGAAACAAATACGGAGAAAACAGTATAGCACTTTATGAGCATGAAAGCTCTCGTACTTTATAGAATATTTCCCGAGGAAGATCCGTTTTTTGAAACGTTATGAAATCCGGAGACGGCATTGATGCATTCTTATACAAGGATTTTCTTATGATTTTGATGGAATTCGTTCATTGTTCTGTAGTGTTAATTGGCAACAATATATAGGAAATATTTTCTTTGGAAGTCTTTTTGACTATCTTGATTTGTGGGTCAGACTCTCAGGACTGTTTTCTCAGTATTTGTTTCCAAAGATCCTGGAGAGCCACTGCCAGTGTGAGTAGATAGTGCTGACCTTGGTGGGCCAGTGGTCTGATTCTGTATAAGGCAGCTTCATGTTTCGTGATTAATTTGGGGGAAGTGCTGGTTGATCGAGCCATGCCATGGGTGAGTGGCCATGTTAAACCAGGGCTACAGTTAATGAGCTGCAATGCCGTGGCATGTTTCGGTTGAAGAGAATACCAGTTGCCCAAGTGTGTGCCAAATGCGTCAAGGATCAGCTGATGGGAAGTGGCATTGTGTTGTGTTGTTTTTCTAATTCTATAATCTGCCTGGAGTCTCATGAGAAAGGCAGACTATAAATATAAAGACCAGACTGGTGACTGCTGCTGCCTGCAAATCAGGACCACTCTAACATTGTCTCTGGCTTTCTTTTCATCTCAGGTGTGCTCGGTTTTTGGTCTTGAAGAGTGAACTGGAACTCCAGCGTGGCGAACTGGAGCTGTGTTGCTCTGATCTTGAGCAGGTGCTATTCCTTCTGGAATCAGATGCTGGTGAGCCTTGGCCTTAATTTTTCTTCTTCTTTATACACTTGTGTATGCTTGAATGGTGAGACCAGGAATATTTCATTGCAGATGGGTGGGCAGGCCGTGGTTGCAGGTTGCCACTGCAAGGTTTGCAGTCTGTCTCTCACCTGCTTGTGGGATAAATCCCAGTTTGGGGCAGCAGGAATTCAGCTCTCAGAGTTATGCAGAATGCGGTGTGCATTTTCGACGTTCTTGCAGGGGTAGGGGGCAACTGGAAAACGGGGGTCAGTAGAAAAACCAGCTTTGAGAAGGGAAGGTGTGTAGTGCAATTCAGTCCTCCCCCCCTGCAATGGCTAGAAGCCCTTTTTAAGAACATAAGAGACGCCAATGTTGGATCAGGCCAAAGGCCCATCCAGTCCAACACTCTGTGTCACACAGTGGCCAGAAATACCAGTGCCTGCACGAGGTCCACCAGTGGTCCACTGGTCCAAAGCATCCTTTGAAATTCTATCACTCTTTTGACGCCATAAGTAGCAGTTCTTCCGGTTCCGAATTCCGCCACTAGAGGCCAGAATCCAGCACCCTTGTAAGTTAGAATGTAACACACGTCTCTAGTTGCAATTTAAGTTTCCAAAGGGGCACATGACAGCCAGAAACAGAGCATGCTCCAATTATTGAGATCACTAGGGACCTCTTTGGAGAAGTGTTCCTACAGGAATTAAGTTCCGGTCTTAAGTTCCAAGGTTATTTATTGCTGATAGTTAAAGGCTGTTGCAATCTTAACATAACAAGATAAGGACTATACAGAATTTAAAACAAAAGCCAAGAAAACTCCAAAACACTAAACATTATGATAAAAGAACAATCAAGTTCCAATTCGCTTCCCATACTAGTGGAACTAGATTGCGTCTGAGCATTTTGCTGCCTGGCCAGATGCAACTTTTGCTCAAATTTTCTTATCTTACTAATGCACAGAGAGAGAGAGAGACCAGTGCCAGTGTAGTGTAGTAGCAAGAGTGTCGGACTAGGATCTGGGAGACCCAGGTTCGAATCCCTACTCTGCCATGGAACCTTGCTGGGTGACCTAGTGACAGTCACTCTCTTTTAGCCTAACCTACCTCACAGGGTTGTTGTGAAGATAAAATGGAGGAGAGAACAATTTAAGCTGCTTTGGATCTCTTGGGAGAAAGGTGGAGTATAAATGAAGTAAATCTTGAATTGCACAGGGGTTTTTATTGGATGATGATTTACCTATAGGTAAATTTCTGTTATCCCCTTGACGAATATTGAGACTAAGAAGTCTGTGCAATTCCCTTGTTGGTGTCTTGACTGGGGTAGTGCTTTAATTATAGGGAACGAAAGACAAGCCCTTAATAAATTGGGCTGTACCCCCAGTAGCTGTGTTTTTAAAATGTGGGGGGGGGTCATAAAAATAGCATTCCTTGTGATTTACAAAGCAGGTAGGGGGAGAGTAAAAAGTCTTAATACTTTCAGCCCCAATCAGTTTCCCATTGGAGGAGATGCAAAGGCTCGTGTTAATGTCGTGTTTGCCTTTGGGAAAGGGAGGCGGTCTTGCTTAGAGGCAGCTCTGTTGCTAAGCTCAGTGCCGTGGGGGGGAAGCAAAACTAAACCAGCCCACCTCTTCTGCCTCCAGTGTTTGAAATGAAAGAGGGAAAAGGCGACATGAAAATCAAGCCAAAGAAAGGCGGGTCTAAGGGCAAGAAGACGCGAGGCTTGTGCCCAGAGCCCCCCGAAGAGGAGCAGCCGTTCCTGCGAGAGGTCTCCCTGGAGTTTGTTGACACGGTTTCCATGGAGAAGGGGAGATCTCTCACAGACTCGCCAGTGCTGAAGCCCAAGCTGAAGAAGCATCCCAGCTTCCTGACCCACCCGGACGGATGCCGCTGCTCGCTCTGCTCCGACGTGGTCCTCTCGAGCGTCTGTCTCCGCTGGCTGGTGGCCTCTGCAGAGGCGGAGCTGGCGCTGGGGCACAAGGGAGAAGGGCTGCAGCTCCTTGAGGCTTGTCTGAAACGGTGCGCCGCCGTGACTTCGTACACCTCCAGCGCGGCGGCGGCCGTGTCTCGAAGCCATGGCAGGAAGGCCGTTGACCAGAATGTGCCCACAGTTGGACTCCTGGATGACCTGGTGGCCCGTATCTACGTGTCTCTGGCGAAACGAACTGTGAGCACCGGCCCATCGGAGAAGAAACTGTGGAGGCTTCTAGAGACCAGCTTGGCCATGCTGTCTTCCAAGAGGCTTCAGCTGCCGGGGCTCGAATATCAAAAGGCCAGCCTGCTGCTTACCAAAGCCGTCGCTGCCATCTTGGTCCAAGCTTCCAGTCACGAGGGCTGTGTAGCAAGCATCTTTTCTAGCGCCTGGCCCTGGAAGAGCCCATTGTCCCTCTGCGAGAACAAAGAAAACCTGCCAACGGCTGCGGAGAAGAGGCTCGACGCGCTTTCTTCAGTGAATAGAAACGATGCCAAGAGGCCGTTGAAAGCGATCCAGAAACTGAAGCCTAAGAGAATCCTAGAAACCGAACCAATTCCCATGATCCTTCCCAGTGACTCACTTGCCCTGGTTGACTCAGCTGCACAGGCCGCTCCGCTTGTCACTAGGCTACCCGTCGAGCCCTGTACCCCAGCCCAGAAATCCTTTCCGACAGCCAGGAGGACGAGCAGGTCAACGGCGACCAAGCCGGCCCTCTCCTCCAAGGCCCCTTTTAAGATTTTTGAGGAGTCTTCTTCTCCGAGGCTGAAGACTGAACTCTCAAAGGCTCCCAAAGTGTCTAGGAGAATGAAGTCTCGTCTTAAGGTAACGGAAGATACAGTGGAAGCGGAGGGAGAAGGGTGGCGGTGGTGGGGGATGGTATACAGAGAGTATAAAGTTGCCTTGCTTGACGAGAACCTGGTCCAGGGAGTCCGGTTCCTTGCTTTCACCAGATGCTCCTGGGGAAAACCGTAAGCAGGGTGTGAAGATGGTGACTTTCCATTGGCCCCAGTATATGGTACTCAGAAGCGTATGCCACTAAAATGGAGGTTCTGTGTAGCTAGCTGTCTTCTGTCAATCGAATCTCCTTTTAAATCTACCTGATAATGGCCAGCTAGTGTAGTGGTGGATTCCAAAAGTTAACTATATGGTATATGGGTAAAAAGCCCCACTCCTTTGTAATACTGGAACTTAAGAGGTCATCACCTAGGTTCCCTTTTCAGCTGCGCTGGCACACCAATTTTCCCCCGATCAACGCAGCAATTTTTTTCACAGCGCAGGGGTGGGAGGTTCCCTTCCCAATGGCCATGCAGGCCCAGACCAAGGTGCATCTTCGCAGCGCTGAGGGCGGGCGAGCAAAAGGCAATGAGGAGAAGCGGGGGAGAGCACGGGGCGCCTGCGCGTCCATCCCCTCCCTCTCCCACTCTTGCCTGGGCAGGAAGAAATGCACCACCGCACAGAGACCCCCCCTCGCGCCACTCTCGTCGTCCTTCCTCGGTGAAGCGCCACCGCTCGCCCATCCCTCCGCCGCCTGGCTTGCCTCCTCTCCTCTCCCCGCCCTCCTGTGTCCCTTTAGTGCGGGGCTGGCTCAGGTGGGGCGCCCTCGCCGCCGCCGCAGCAAGAAGCCCCTCGGCGGCTCCTGGCGCTGGTGGTTGAGTGCACAGAAGAAGCCGGGATCCTGGTGGCTACCCGCTTTGTTCTCTGGCCACGCTGGAGCCTGGGCGGGTGGCCTGGCTTTATTTTAAACGGGAGTGCAGATCTGGGTTCATTTCTATATTTAAAGCGACAGGGAACCAGGAAGACAATGCAATAACCCATTCAGAGACCGGCTTGGTCTTCTCACCGCTCTGCCCTGTGTAATACTGGGCATAGGGTTGCCAGGTCCCCCCTGGCCACCGGAGGGGGATGGGGGAGTAGGGTTGCCAACTTCAGGTTGGGTAACTCCTTGTAGATTTGGGAATGGAGCCTGGGATGGACAGGGACCTGAGGGGGGGGCACAATGCCATAGAGTCCCCTCTCCAAAGCATCCATTTTCTCCAGGGGAACTGATCTCTGTAGTCAAGATGAGGTGTAATCCCAAGAGGTCTCCAGGTCCCATCTGGAGGGTGGCATCCCTAACTGGGGGTGGGGTTATGCAGACACTTTCTCTCTGTGGGAAGAAGTCAGAAGACTTTCAGAAGAGGACCTCCTGACAGTTCTGGCTGTTTCTCACAAAAAGAAACCCCTTCTGTGTATGCCTGTGGGTGACTTCTCTGTGTATAAGAGAAGCAGGCTGACTGGAAAGTCTAAATGGCCCAGGAACAAGCCCAGCTCAACTGCCTCTCTGATTCTCAAGTCCGGCCCGAGCCATCCAACCTCCCAAGTATTACACATCATCTTTATTCAGACTTGGAGTCTCGGAGCAGCTTACAATCTCCTTTCCTTCCTCTCCCTATAACAGTCACCCTGTGGGACTGAGAGGCCTCTGAGAGAACTGCTGTGACAGAGCTGTGACTGGCCCAAGGCTACCCAGCTGGATGCATATGGAGGAGTGGGGAATTAAACCCAGTTCTCAGATTAGAGTCCACCACTTTTAACCACTGCACCAAACTGGCTAAATAGAACTGGGGTGGGAAATCAGTTACAGGTCTTCCAGGAATGGGGAAGGAGTCTTAAATGCTGACAGAAGGTCTGTAGTGAGAGCAGGGGAAGAGAATTCCGAAGAGCTGGGCCGGCTGTGGAGAAGAAGTGCTTTGAATGGATGGGTTCCCACTAGACAACTGCAGCAATTGTGAGTGCTTATAGTAGAGACTTGGAGCTGCAGTGGCTCAAGTGGTTAAGACGCTGAACTGCAGGCTGTGGAAGGTCGGTAGTTCAGCAGTTCGAGACCCGACTTGCCGCATGACGGAGTGAGCTCCCGTCTCTAGTTCCAGCTCCTGCCAACCTAGCAGTTCGAAAGCAAGGAATTGCAAGTAGATAAATAGGTACCACTTCGGTGGGAAGGTAACAGCGTTCCGTGCGGCTTGGTGTTTAGTCATGCTGGCCACATGACCACGGAAACGTCTTCGGACAGCGCTGGCTCTTCGGCTTTGAAACGGAGATGAGCACCGCAACCCTAGAGTCGGATTCGACTGGCTTTCGAGCAAGGGAACCTTTACCTTTATAGTAGAGTCTTGGGCAAGTGTGGTTGATCTCTTCTCCCTTCTCCTTCCCACCCCATCATCCCTACCCTAAAAATCCTGAAATGCTTTTCCTTGTAGGAAAGAAGTTCTAGCCCTTTGATCCTCTTGGTTGCCCTCTTCCTTATGTCTTCCTAGCTTGGATTCCTCTGTTGAGATTTTGATCTGTGCTATGCCCCTGTGTGAGAGGGGCTCGATAAAAGATTGCTTTTGCAGCAGCTTAAAGGTTGCTGTAAAACCTGAGGGGAATAATAGTTAATAATTATTGTATGGCATTGAGTATAGTATAGCCAGGAGATCCTAAGATTGTCTGGCAGCAAGAAGGTCTTGCTCTTTAGTGTTCTATGCCACTAGGTGGCGAGCTAGACTTGTTTTTGAGGCAAGAGATGTTTCAGAGGTGGTTTGCCATTGCCTGCCTCTGCGTCAGGACCCTGGTATTCCTTGGAGGTCACCCTTCCAAATATTAGCCAAGGCCGTCCCTGCTTAGCTTCTGAGATCTGACCAGGTCAGGTCAACAGTTTGTCTCTTCCCAGCTTGGATCTCTCTGTTCAGATTTGGCTCTGTGCTATGCCCCTGTGGGGGAGGGGCTTGGTGGAAGATGGATTTGGTAGTGTCTTTAAACAGTTGCCTGAGAGACTTTTGGAGGGAAAGCAACTGTCTGTTTCTTCCCAGGTTGTGTTCAGCGATGACAGCGACCTGGAAGGTCCCCCAGAAGCTACACAGGAGGTGAAGCTTCCTGCTGCCAAAGAACCGGCAGGCTCCGCCCGCAGGCCAGGGCGAAAGGCAGCCCCCATCAGGAAGCAGTCATCGGCGAGCCTTGCCAAAATGGAGGGGTGCAGTGCCAGCTCTTCAGACGACCACCCCCGCGCCGCGAAGGCACAGCCTCCGCATGGAAGGCCGGGCGGCAGGAGAACGGCTAAGCGGGGGAAGCCACAGGAAGAAACCCAGAAAGTGTCTTGTGAAGAGGAAATGCTAAACGAGCCAGGAGAAGAAGGAAAGGAGGTTCTGAAGATTGTTGAAGAGAGGCTCAAGGCCGGCTGTGAGGTCCTGCGGGGTTCGGGTGAGGAAGAAGCTGCTGAAGGTAACTTTTGGCCTCCTGGAGACTTCCAGTAACTTGTTCATGTGAGACGTTCTCGAGCAAAATAACTGGACTGGGGAACAGGGAGGGACAGCCAGGCAGAAATGCGAAGGACTTTCTTCTGTGTAGTGGGATGGAAGCTGAGTGACCCTTCTGAGCCAAATATTGGAGCACGTCTGGTCTGTCTGGTAGTCAGTTTGGTGTAGCGGTTAAGAGCATGGACCCTAATCTGAGAGAACCGGGTTTGATTCCCCACTCTTCCACATGCAGCTGCTGGTGTGACCTTGGGTCAGTCACAAGTTCTCTCAGAGCTGTTTTCTCAAGAGCCGTTTCTGAGCCCCACCTACCTCACAGGATGTCTGTTGTAAGGAGAGGAAGGGAAGGAGATTGTAAGCCTCTCAGACACCTTTGGGTAGTGAAGGGCGGGGTATAAATCCAATCTCTTCTAGTCCTGGAGGGGGGTAGCATAAGCTTTTTGTGGTCTGTAACGCACATCTTCAGGCATAAGTACAGACACACATTCTTCATGTCTTGGGGGTGGGGGGAGATAGACAAAGTGGGCTCTAGCCACAAAGTCTTATAGTGGAATAAAACTTCCTTACTCTTCAAGGTGCCACTAAACTCTTGTTGTGGGGTTTTCTCTCTTTAGGCAGGCCATATATCAAACTTTGTTCCTAACCATATGATAAATAAGCTGGAGTGGGTAGCCCTGTTGGTCTGAACTTAAACCAAAAGGACAGTGGGACCTTTAAGAGCAACAAAGTTTAATTCCGGGTATAAGTGAGAACTGAGTGATTTAGCATGTTAAGTCAGTCAGATCTTGCTTATACCCAGAATTGAACTTTGTTGGTCTTAAAGGTGCCACTGGACCTAAACCGCTCATATCTGTTTGTTAGCTCTTTTATTTGCATGCTAAATTGCTACTATTCACAGGTCTTACCAACTGCTTTCATCCTATTTTAGCTATACTTACCTCTCAGTTACTTATGCATCTTGACTCTGACTAGCCCTTCCTAGCAACTAACACACAAACACACCCACCATGCTCTTTCTGCCTATGTGTAAGGCTTGAGGAAGTCTGTTTCAATGTATCTGGGAAAGTGTGCATGCACACGAAAGCTTATGCCCAGAATTAAACTTTGTTGGTCCTAAAGGTGCCACTGGACTCAAGCTTGGAGCTATATTAAATGGGGAGCTAATAAGGGAGACTTAAATATTCTCTGTGCAGAGCCAAGCAAGGTCTTGTGAGCGGGGTGAGGGAACAGCTTCCCGAGACAGTAACCGAAGTTGAAAAGGAAGGAGTCATGGAAGGCCCAAGAAGACATAATCCATTCACTTTGATCACCTGAGCTTCCCAGACAGAGTCAAGTGAGAAATTTTACCCCAGGATCCTTTTTTAAGGGTCACACTTTATTTGTAATCTCTCTGTTGGAAATGACAGATCGGACTGTGTGTGCACTGTATACAAAAATAACATGTAATTCCTGTTCTGCGTGGCTGTTCATCATGGATAGTGATGTCCATATGCTTTCAAAACTGACCTCTGCAAACATAAGAGCTAGAAACTTCTTTAAAAAAGCAATTCTCACATTCTCAGTGACCACATAATGTCACATTAAGGATGTTGCAACGAAAGTTAGTTATGTGCCATATAAAGAGCAAAAGGTTTTATTGTAGCATAAGCTTTTGTAGATGACAACCTGCTTCGACAGAGGTAATGAAATCTGTGTAAAGTTGTGCTATAGTGCTTACTAGTAAGGTACTGTGAGACTCTGTTGAGGCTTCTCAGGAAAACCAGTTCTGTGCCTATTGGTATATCTCTGGTTATTGACCCTGAAGGGAACATTTAGGGAGGGCATGTCTGGCACGATTTATTTATTTTTCTCCTGGAGAAGGAGTTTGTAAGCCATTCTGAGTGAAGGATGGGTATAAATCCAATTCTGCTTCTTCTCTACAGGGCATAGAAGGCGACCTGTTCCTGAGCCGAATGGCACAGAAGAGGACCAAGAGGTTCTCCGGCGTGATGCCGGTGCTGATTTGCAGGAGACTTTCCAAACTTCAGAGAAGCGAAGCCCCACGGACCCCTTTGATTTGCATGTTCTTTCCTTTGCTCTAGAAGTAGCTGCTAGTAAGAAATTGAACTTCATGATGTTCTCTGTTCCTGTTGGGGGAAAAAACTTGCATAAAACCTTGTCCTTCTTGGGAAGTTCTGCACAGAACAATCTTCAGAATTCCAGTCCCCACCCCCAGGGCTTCAGAAGCTTCTCATACATTGAACTGCACAATTTTAAACTTACCTTTGCAGTGGTTAAAACTAGGAACTTGCTCTCCTGTGCCAATTCTCAGTGGAATTCCCTGCGGAGCTTTGTAACAATATGAGTGCTCAGTTCTTAATAATCAGAGCCAGTTTGGTGTCGTGGTTAGGAGCGCGGACTCTAATCTAGGAGAACCCAGTTTGATTCCCCACTCCTCCACATGCAGCTTCTGGTGTGACCTTGTGTCAGTCCCAGTTCACTCAGAGCTTTTCTCTCAAGAGCAGTTCTCTCCGAGCTCTCTCAGCCCCACCTACCTCACAGGGTGTCTGTTGTGGGGAGAGAAAGAGATTGTCAGCCACTCTGAGTGAAGGGCGGGGTATAAACCCAATCTCTTTTCTTCTTAATACAAGGTTTTTTGAGCAGTCATCCAGTGTACTGTGGTCAGTCAGTAGTATCCCCATGTTGCAGTCAGGAGAGATGGTAGCTAGTCTAACACCTCCCAATGAGTTCATGACACAAATGAGATTATTTTTTTTTTGAGCCGGGGGCTTCTCCGTTTGCAACCCTATGTTTTGGGCAGAGAAGAAATCTCCCCTTGGATCTGTATTTCAGTAGCTATCCTGGAAGAAATGCACTTAGGTCAGACCATTCTTGTTCCAGGAGAGATGGAATATCAGATTTTGAAATCTGTGCTTGTCCTCAATTAAACAAGAATTTGAGTTAATGTTATGCCTAAGTGTATGTTTTAATTTTGCTTGCAAAGTTGCATTGAATTTAAGACCACCTTGTGACTATTGCAGATTCCTTCTCCGTGGACTCTGTCTATGAAACCCTGCAAGCTGCCTTCTGTTCAATCAGCCATAACCCTCCGGGTGCCCTCTACAGTCATCTCTGCCGACTCATGGCACTGTGTATTGGGAGCCGGGACCCTGTTGCTACCGCCTACCTGGTATCGGAGTCGGTCGCTGTCACTCTTCGCCATCAGATCATGAGCACCATTCACAAAAGACTTGAGTAAGAGCCCCCATCAGGAGGGCGGGGGGAGGGGAGGGTGTGGTGTGTATGGAAACAGAGACCATGCCATAGCAACACCTAGGTTGCCTAAAGAGCACCCTTGGCAAACTTTGCAGTGAATTGTCTTTCTGCATAATCTCCTGTAATAATATGGGCAAAATACATAGAAACCTAAGCAGGAGCCGGAATCTCTTTGTAACAGCTGTGCAAGTGTGTATTTCAAACAAATCTGACAGCTTTTGAAGTTGAGAAGCAACCAAACCAGCATAAGCTGGTCGAAGGGGGCCTGGGGGAGTGGGGTGAGCAACACAAGGAGTCTTGTCCAGGGGACAAGTCTGTCTCTTAAGGCTTCATTTCTCAAACTGAGGGAAGTCCTTCGTAAGGACAGAGGGCAAGGCCCAATCTGTGCCCATCCAGCTAGCATGAAAGTGGAGCCACCTCAGTTTTTCAAGAACAGGGTTAGGGACTCTCCACCTCAGGAGAAGGGGGATGAAGTCAAATTCCTGCTCTTTTTTTTTTTTGAACAGTTGTAGCTCATAGTACCAACAGCTGGATTCCAGACTGCCTCCGAGAACTAGTCAGAAAACTTGCAGATGGGAGAGAACCATCTGAGAACCAATAGTTCAACCCTAGGACAGTGGGGCATGAAGGGAGAGGAAGGCTGGGGGGGGGGGTCCCATTAAATTCCCCCCCCCCCAGAACATGGGTTTCTCTAGTTTAGCTAAAGTCTGAGATCTGATGTTCTAAAAAGGCTTACTTCTATCAGGTGTATCTTTTCTCAGCAGAGCTTGCCCTGAGTTCCTGTTTGAGTCACTGATCTGGGCAAGCCTCTTGATTAGAAGAAGGTAGTCCAAGAGCAATGGGATTTGCACAGAGGCTTTTGGCCACTTGGTGTCCTTTCTTTTAAAAAAAAAAAAAAAGGTCACTGACTCCGGATCCATCCCTTCTATGCACACCCAGTAGGGCAGAATTATCCATCCCCAGCGGAGCTAATTAGGAGTCAAAGCCTGGGCAGTGACTCATGCCAATGTGTAGTGAGCCACTGCCTCAGCTGGTAGGTACCCGATGCTCTCAAGAACCTTTAATTTATTTGTCACTGCACACTGTGATGCCAGGCACACAGTTTGGTCGCTCTGGTCTTAAAAACAGGAGTGGATTTAAGAGCGCCATTTGGAGAGAAACTCAAATGAATTTGCGAAGCCGTCCCAGCAGAGTTGTGCCCACCAGGATCTCTCTGGTACAGGCATCCCTTTTGTTTCCTCTATTCTGAAATTATGTGTTCAAGATCATTGCTGGTGGAAACTGGAAGCCACCTGAATGGCCTCATTAACCTGGCGTAGCCAAGGTTTAGATCGCTGTTGCTGCTGGAATGTAGAGTTTTCCGCATTTGGAATGAAATGACCTTTTGCCTGTTTGGCACTCTCTGGAAGCTGGTGTTTCCCACTGAAAAAAACTGGGAAAAGGGGGGGTGGGGCCCTCAACCCAGGATATGACTGCAAACCAAAAAGGGCTAAGCTAAACCATATATATAAAAAATACAAATACTTATTCAGGTGTACACATGTTAAAACTTATCCTGATTTAAAAATTACTTTGTCTAAGTTCAGACTATAAAAGCTTATCCACTATACATACATATGATGGGTAAATACTTTACAACTGAAGACCAAACGTGATTTAATTTTTAAATCAGGATAAGTTTTAACATGTGTAGACCTTAATAAATATTTGTATTATATATATATGTATATATGTGTGTGTGTATATATATATATAAAACCATATATATATGGTTTAGCTTCCCACTGAAAACCAGCACCTCAGTTGACCTTTGCTGTTCATTTCACCCTCAGCAAGATGAAGAAGGCCTCAGTGGCCAGTGCCTCGAGGCACCTGGAGATGCTGAGCCTGCAGGAAGGGAGCACCGATCCCCTGCTCCGGTGCCTCAAAGAAGTGCAGAACCTCTTTGCGTTCAGCTGTCCCAGTCCAGCTAAGCTGGAGACAGAAGACTTCAGAGAACAGCTGCGACAGATCCCTGCTGGTATTGGACTGGTTTAGTTTCTGGGGTGGGGAGGGAGGGGTGGGGGGAGCTTCACAGCAGACGAGCAGCAGCCATTTCTTTTATTATTATTATTATTTGTATTTTTTATTTGAAAGAACGTGCAACAATACAGAAAATACTGTATAAGAACATTTTTTACATTTTAGTTGAAATAGAGCAACAAATGTTTTGCAATAAACAATGATACCGTATGTGCGATAGGAAGAAAGAAACAGTTGAACAAAGCGAACTGTAAGGTTCTGTAAATTTGTAAACAGGAGTGAATACACCTTAAGAACAGTGGGATGCCTGCAATAGTACGTAGGATATATGTTCCAATTAATAGGTCAGGAAAAAACAAAGGTTATAAATGCTAAATAGACCTAACTCTGTGTGTACCGGTATGAAATATGTAGGTAAACCCAAGATACAATAAGGAGCAATAAATAGTAAAAGTAAGGATCACCACCTCAAATCAGAGAAGGAGGATATTTATTGACAGAGACATACCAACCTCATGACCACTGTGCAGCAGCTATTTCTAAGAGTAGAACAGTCAGCTCCGGCTGTCTGACAGCCCTTCCAGGGGGATGTATGTATGCATCTGAAACCTTAATTTGCTGCCTTTCTGTCTTGAGGAACTGAAGGTGGCTTACAATGTAATCACAAGAATTATTTTTAAAAATGCATAGACGATCACAATTTACAATAACAGTACTGCCAATAAGTAAAAAACTAAATTAAGTCAACTGCGGTCCTGAATAAAACAGTCTTCAGCTGCCTCTCAACTGTCTTCTCAGCATCCAGCTGGTTGAGAGTGAAGGGGCCAGGTGCACCTCCCAGGAGAGAGGGTGTTCCATAATTGTGGGGCTGCCACCGGGAAGCCCTTCTCTCGTATACCCCCCGGATGAACGTCTTCAGCTGCTGGCCCACCGCCTCGCCGGCGTGGGGATTCAGGGGCTTGCCCTTCAATGGTTTGCCTCTTTCCTTCAAGGTCGGGGACAAAGGGTGGCGATAGGGGATCAGCGGTCCCGGAGGCACCCTCTTGAGTGTGGGGTGCCTCAGGGGGCGGTACTGTCCCCGATGTTATTTAACATCTACTTGCGCCCCCTTGCCCAGATTGCCTGGAGCTATGGGCTTGGGTGTCATCAATATGCAGATGACACCCAGCTCTATCTGATGCTGGGCGGCCGGTCAAACTCTGACCCAGATGACCTTCATTGGGCATTGCAAGCTGTGGCTGGTTGGCTCAGACTGTGCCGGCTGAAACTAAACCCGGCGAAGACGGAGGTCCTGGGCCTAAGTCGAGTCGGTTCGTGGTTGGGGCTCCCCCTCTCGGCCTTCGATGGGGTGCCTTTGGTGCTGGTGTCGAGGGTTGGAAGTCCGGGAGTGCTCCTAGACTCCTCTTTAACGATGGAGGCCCAGGTGGCAGCCACTGTCAAGTCAGCCTTTTACCATCTGCAGCTGGCGCGGCAGTTGGTTCCCTTCCTTGACCGCAATGACTTGGCCACAGTGATCCATGCGACGGTCACCTCGAGGCTGAACTACTGCAATGCTCTCTACATGGCGCTGCCTCTGTCGCAAGTCCGGAAGCTGCAGCTAGTGCAGAATGTGGCAGCTAGGCTGTTGATGGCTCCCACTAGGTGGGACCACATCCAGCCGGTGCTGAAGGCGCTGCACTGGCTGCCTATAGCGTACCGGATTCGCTTCAGAGTGCTGGTTCTTACCTATAAAGCCCTTGATGGCCAGGGTCCAGCTTACCTAAGGGACCGCCTTTCCCCATATGTTCCCCCAAGAGCACTACGGTCAGGGGCGCAGCATCTTTTGGTTATTCCAGGCCCCAAGGACATCAAGTTGGCTGCTACCAGGGCCAGGGCCTTTTCAGTGGCAGCTCCTATCTGGTGGAATGAGCTCCCGGAGGAGAGCCGGGCCCTGTGGGACCTTATGCAGTTCTGCAGGGTCTGTAAGACAGAGCTCTTCCGCCAGGCTTTTGCATAGGAGCTGCCACCGCTACTGTACCACCACCGAGTTGCCATCTTTGACGGTAGATTCTATCAGGATGTGAGCTGGCCCTGGAAAGACAATCAGATGACCTGAAGAACTGGTCATGAAAGGACGACAGTACTATCCGGAACGTTTGCTGATGGGTTATGCTGGTTTGTGGAACCCCATCTTGGATTGATAAGAGCTTATTATTTAGAGCACCGGCACTTTGTTTGTGATTGACTGTTCTGTTCTGTTTTTAGCTGTTGAATCATGGCATATGCCTCTTGGTTAGCCGCCCTGAGACCGTTTGGGGAGGGCGGGATATAAATTTAATAAATAAATAAATAAATTCAGTTGACGGGACAGTCAGGAGGGGCCTCTCCCTGTGATCTCAGTGTGTTAACTCTGGGTGTTGTGGCGGGAAAGCCACAGAATGGAAGAGGCTGAGTCTTGTGGGTGCAGCAGGACGGTGGATCTGATTGCGTAATCTCGCAGTGCTCTCAAGACGTTCAAGAGTTCTGAACGCAGATCATGCAAGCTGCGTTATTACGTGTTAAGCAAACTGGTAGATCAGCGTATCCTCGCTTTGCCTAGATTTTTTGCAGACTGTCTTAGTGGAGACATTTTGTGGGATACTAGGTGGGGCTAGAATGAAACCCGCCCCCGCCCCCCAGTTCCTCTCCATAGGAGGGACAAGGCAGTCTACAGTGAAGTTGCCTTGAGTTCTGAACCATCAACAGATCTGTGCTTTCTGTTTCTTTGGTTGGACCCAACCTAAACTCTGGATGTGGCACAGTTGTGCTGGTGTCTTCTCCTTTAACTGTCGCGAGTTTCTTAAACAGAGATAGCCAAGCTCAGGGCTGGTGTCAGGTGGGGCAGCTGTCAGGGCCCACGGTGGCTGACCCTTGCAACATGCCATTTCCCTGCCTGCTCACTTGTGAGTGCTTCACCACCCAAGTGTCCATGGTGCATACGCTGCCCAGTGACATCAGGGAAAGGGCTGCAGGGCAGTTTAGATGGCTGTGAGCATGGGCAGCAGAAGAGCTTGTGAGCAGGGCATGGAGGGATGCAGAGGCAGGCAGTGAGACACATCTGGGAAGGGCCCCCCGGGAACTCTGCCTAGAGCCCCCCTCCAAAAAACCTGGAACTGGCCCTGGCTGAGTGTATGTGTATTAACTGGAGTTGCCTTGCTGTCTCTCACAGGGGTAACAGTATGTGTGCTGGCCCTGGTGAGCATTGAGCCGGGAGCTGTTGGGGACATCCTCCTGGTGACGCGGTTGGAGAAAGATGCTGTCCCGGTGACCCTCCAGATACAGACGATGCACAGCAAAGTAAGAGGCAGTGAAGCGAAACCCGCAGCCTCCTGAGCACAAAGCAAGGTTTGGTTTTCCCATAATCCCTTCTTCTCTTTCCTAGGTCTCCCTGAGCATGGCGCTCAGCGAATTCGAAGCCATCCTGCAGGAACAGAAAGAGGTCTCCAACCTCACAGAGAAAGAGGATTGGTGGCTTGGCCGGACTGCGCTGGACAAAAGAATGAAGGTGTGGGCAGGGCTCTTTTTGTAGAAAAAGCCCAGCAGGAACTCATTAGCATAATAGGCCACACCCAACACCAAGAGCTCATTAGCATATTGGGCCACACCCTCTGCCAGCACAGCTCATTAGCACATTAGGACGCATCCCCATGTTGCCAGAAGTGTGGTTATCCAGCCACACCCACCTTTTGCTTGTTATTCTGTTTACCTTGTTTGTTGTCAAAACGGTCCAGGGCTTTTTTTGTAGCAGGAACTCCTTTCCATGTTAGGCCACACACCCCTAATGAAGCCAATCCTAATGGATTTCTGCTGTTGGGTGTGGCCTATTATGCTAATGAGTTCCTGCTGGGCGTGGCCAACTTGGGGGCCAGCCGGAACTCCGTTCCTGTGCGTTCCTGCCCAAAAATAGCCCTTGGTGTGGGGAATCCTGGGAGGTTTCTTTCCAAGGGGTGAAGGATTGGCCATAATGCTTCCTGAGTGCTGAACCTTCTGGCTTCCTGTTCCTGAAAGGATGAGAGATGTGAGGCTGGTTGCATGCCCTGGGCCCTTTCCTGAGAGGGCAGCCTAAGGGGCTGTAGGGGAAGGACTTTGTAGTTTTAAGAGGCAGAATCTCTGGCCCCCCTCCTTCCCTCCACCCATCTTACAGGCCGTGTCTGCTTCTTGTGCCGCCATATTGGTTGACAACAATGGTAGGCCTTGGCTTTCGAGCAAGGGAACCTAGGCCTGGCCCAGTACTCTATATCCACTGCACCCCACCTTGTTCTCAGCAAGGAGCAGATGTTGCTTTGTGTTCCTCTCAAGCTCCAGTCACTCCTGAAGATATTTCTTTTCTGGGAGGCCTGTGGATCAGAGCAATGTTATTTACAACCTGCTTTGATATGTGTTGGGGTTTTTTGTGGTATATTCTGATAGCAAATAATCTGAATTTCAATCTGAAGCATTTTGTTTGGCGTAAGCTGCCTTGGGGACCACCTTGAAGGTGGAAAAGGTGGCTTTAGAAATGCCACCAATTTCCCTCAGTTCTTACATTCCTTTTGTTGTCACTGACAGCTGTGTGATGGGCTGTCCATCTGAGGTATTATTTTCTTTTCTCGTTCGGCAGGCTTTGATAGAGTCCTTGGAGAGGCATGTGCTGGGCTGCTGGAGGGGTGCCTTGCTGCCAGCTTGCGAGGGCCAAGGCTTGGCAGAAGAAGCCTCTAGTCTTCAAAAAGGTCTCAGGGAGTGTGGCTGTGAGGTGGATTTGGCACTGCTTAAGGTGAGGAGCTCAGTAGGTCCCTGTTGTCCAGCCTTCCATTTTGAACAGAGGCCAGCCAGTTGCCTCGGAAGCCACAATCAGGCCTTGAAGGACACTCCTGTCTTTTTTATGGCATCTGTTTTCTTTTTCAGAGATATACTGCCACTGCACATGGAAGCTTGATTCATCCGTCATAACTAGCTTCTGTTTATCTCCTCCTTGTATTTTAAAGCCATCATCACCACATATAGTGGCGGCAAACCACATAAATCAGTTGTGCGCAGGCTGAAGTGATTTTTCCTTTCTGTCCTGACTCTCCTGGGTGATGCAGTTTTTACCGGGTGATCCTGGAATTCTTTTTTTTTTCTCATTAACATTTTATTGGTAGGATTAAAACAATAAAACAAATATAACAATAAAAATATACATAAAGGTCATAAGAACAGTTATACATTCAAACCAACACACTAATTACAAAAAAGTAAGCTTTAAAGAATGATACATTCTTCAATAAATCTTTGAACAAAGTAACTTATTTTAGCCTCAATTTGTAATTGATGCCTGTACTGTTTGTTGCTTTAGATACAACCAAGTGTCTTCTGCCCTCAAGAATATCTGTAGACATTCAATGATATATCTAGTCCTATTAAACACAAAGTACTACCCACAAATCAAGTTTTACCAAAGCCTACTTACTATACTTTATTTGAACCATAAAAAAATCCTCACAACCATTTAACATAGTTATCCCAGGATGCTGAGATAATTTTTTTGTCTGATAGAGCTTCTAAAATTGGCATCCATTTAGCTTCGAACCCAAAATGTACGACGTTTCTTTTATTTCTGTTAACTTTATCAGTGATGCTGGAATTCTTAACGTTGAGGGAAAACTCACCTTTTTACCCTTCTGCACAGTTCATGATCTTAGCCTTTCACATTCCTATCACTGACACTTAGATGCCATTTCCCCCTACCCCTAAACAGAAACATGCTGTGGCAAAGGGTACTCCCTTCTCTGTCCATTTTTTCACTGTCTTTTCCCCCTCTCGTCTAGGCATCGGCCAGGGGTCCTGGGCAGAAGTGGCATGCATTGAATTTTGGTCCCCTTTCAACAGGTCATGCTTACTGGATCACATCTCCTCAATGCAGAAGACGTGCAGCACTTGTCGTGGGGGCTCAGCCCAGCTCAGCCTGAGAGAGCTCAGAACCTTCTTCAGGAGGCAGTAGATAAAGTGGCATCCTGTGCACGCCAAGCGTCAAGTGGCCACTTGGTCCTCGTGCTGGATAAAGTGGGTGAATTCCTTGACTGGTTTTGTTTTTACCGGGGTGGGCATTAGACCTGCGTCCGGCCTATACTATTGAATGTTTTGTACCCTACTGGAGGAGTGCCTGCCAGGTGAAAAGTGGCACTTTAGATGCTGCTCTTGGCCTGGTGGCTGCCACTTTCTAAGTGACCAGTCAGTGATCCTCAACATATCTTACTGCTTCTCTGAGATAACTTCCTGTTTTCCCCAATACTCAGGTGAAAAACAGCCTGCCATTTTTCTTCAGCCTTAGAATATTGGGGAAGGGAGAAGACAGATATGTCATTGGAAGGGCTCTGATCTTCCCTGCTCACCCAGTACAAATTAACTATTGCTGACGTTAATTTTATTTAGAACATTTATAAGCTAATATCATGGTTCCCCCTGCTACCCTTTTTTCTTAGCTGAGCAGACCCTTTTTCTTTGTTTCTGTCTGTCTCCCTAGTTGTCTAAACGTATATAGATATATTCTGACCCAGCCTAGGATGCTGAGGAACAAAAAAAACCCCTTAGTTGGTATGTGTCTGATTATGGCACACGAGAAGCTGATATTAATTCATAACACATAAGCTGTTTTATTTTCCTTTTATGGGGAAATGGTCAAGTGAGACTGTCAGGGAGGTTTCAGTTTTTAACATAGCAGGTGAAAAGGCAACAGGAATGAGGGAAACTTCCTATAGCTATAGAATCATAGAAGTGGAAGGGACCTCCAGGATCATCTTGTCCAACCCCCTGCACAATGCAGAAAATTCACATGACCCCTGCCCAGAAGATGGCAAAAAAACCTTCCAGGATCCCTGGCCAAATTGGCCTGGAGAAACTTGCATTTCCCTGGGCGTGTAAGAAAGGTCCATGAGAACTAAGCACTAATGCAACCCTTCCTGCCTTCCCTCTATGATCTGCCTAAGTTCACAGAATCAGCAGTGCTGTCAGATGGCCATCCAGCCTCTGTTTAAAAACCTCCAAGGAAGGAGAGCCCACCACCTCCCGAGGAAGCCTGTTCCACTGAGGAACTGCTCCAACTGTTAGGAAGTTTTTCTTAATGTTTAGCCGAAAACTATTTTGATTTAATGTCAGCCCGTTGGCTCTGGTCTGACCTTCTGGGGCAACAGAAAACAACTCTGCACCATCCCCGATATGACAGCTCTTCAAATACATGAAGACGGTTATCATATCACCTCTCATTCGTCTCCTCTCCAGGGTATAGATTGTTTTGTCACAAAATGTAGTTGTTCTGTTCTACAGATTGGTGTTTATAACTGTTTAGAGAGATCACTTGGCTGTCACTCCTTAGATGAACAGGCATAAGCTTAATTGTTACAAAATTACTGAAATCTGTGGAGACAGGTTCTAATTTTCCTTCTTGAATACTTAATAGGGATAACCCCCCTTTCCTAGGAGCTATTTCCCTTAGGAAAGGAATACTGGTTCCACTTCCCTGTTTCAGGATCCTCTTTGATTCTTCAGTCTTCCTAACTGCCGCTCCCTCAAGTCAACAGCAGAATGCCATTTGAATCCCCTGTCAGTCAGGGTTCTCGGAGTGGTATAATGCATTAGCAGTTAGCTCTCTATTAGAGCTGCCTCATCAGAGAAGCTGTAATGTGACAAAACTGTCAAGTAACATAAACTTTTTAAAATAATTAACAACCTCCAGCCAGTGCACAGAACATTGAGCAGCCTAAAATATCACTTATAAACAGTTCTCAGAATAGAAGTAGACTATAAAAGCAATTTAAATAGATCAACCCCTTGATTAAAAGCCAGGGTAAAAAGGAACTCCTGGCCTGGTATGTAGAGTAGAGTAGGCACCAGGTAGACTTAAAAGGGAAGGGCACTCCACAGATGAGGCACCACCACGGGAAAAGCCCTGTTTCTGTGTACCCACCTGCCTTTGCCTCTTAGACTGTTCCATGGACCTTACTGTATGGAGACTTAACTCCCAATTCTTTCCAGCATCTGCAGAAGCTCCCCTGGGAAAACATGCCATGCCTGAAATCCCAGACAGTGACTCGATTACCTTCTCTACGTTTCCTGCTCAGCTATTCGCTTACAAAAAAGGTAAAGAATGACTTTTGCTGTTAAGACATTTGCCAGACATATGTTTCTAAGCAATGTCCTTTTGCACTGAAGAGACTCTAGGTCTACTTTTTTTGTTAGAGATACTATCAGAAAATTTGGATTAATAATAGTGGTGCTAGAAGTTTTATGTGAAAGAGCCCACAGAGTGTGATTGGTGACGGCACTGAGTTACCTTGCTTTCTGTGAGCTGTGAAGCTTGGCTCACTTGCTTGAGACATCTGGAGGTGCTCAAGTAAGAACTACTTCAGTGTACTTGCTTTGTTTGGTTGCTTGCATAGGCTGATTGGGTCAAGGGAAGACACTGGTGCTGGTGAATGAGCTAGCCCTTATGAAGGTGCCTTCTTTATACTCTGGCAGAGAGATTTTTCCCTAGTGCTTGCTTTCAGAGGTTTGCTCGATGGAGATACTGGGTATTTAACCTGGAGCCTTCTGCATGCAGAGTTTTACCATTGAACTATTGTCCGATAGCGCTCTAGTCTTAGTGCTGCCTGTTTACCAGAAAACTTTTAACTGCATAGCTGGACTGGAATCTCTTTTATTTGGCTTGGTTATTATTAATTTTTATGGAGGGACAGTACTTTCGTTTTCTGTTAAATCTCAAATTGTTCTGTTCTTGCGGTGGCTCTCTCAACTGTGATGAAACGCTATCAGCAATCCTAGAATACCCAAATTAAATTTTAACTTCTCTGCGGTTTCTAATGCACAAGCATTAAGACAATCAATAAATCAGTGTTGTCAAAGACTTCAGGTATTTTAAAAACAAAAACCTTCCTGCAGCACCTTAAAGCTCGAGAAAAAGTGGACAGACACAAGTAATGGGCCACCACAGATAAGGCCCTGTTTCTAGCGCCCGCCCCCAAAGTGGAACACACCAAGCCAGGGCTTCTGGTAATGATCTTAACTGTTGGACAGCCAAAAGAGAGAGAGTGTGTGTGTATTTGGGGGGGTAGTTTATAGGGACAGGCAAGTAAAAGTGCACTTAATGTCGCTTAATTGCTTTCTAGGAATTCTGATTCTCTTAAGTGAACCACTGTGGAAAGCACTGGATTAGCCATTGGGCTGTCTATATGTAGAATTATGTATGGTTAGGGGTCTATGGGGGAGGGCAGACTCAGACAACAAGTGCGATCCTACAGAGTTATTCCAGTCAGCGGACTTAGACTGGAGTAACTGCACAGGATCACACTAAGAAACGCCGAATTCTATAGTCCGTGAAAGCCGGCTTGGATTAATGTAGACGTCTACCAGTTATGAGGATAGGATCACTCACACACGAAACGTCCCTTTTCTGTGCGAAGCTGTAGCTTTGGAGGTTTTGTGCGATGGGGACAAATCTTCACACGCTTAATCCCACACGCCGCACCAATTCTATGCTTTTCCCCCTCCTGCTTGCCTAAGGCAGTTTGTCGTCTCCTTTTTTTCCACAGTACCGTGAAAAGTCTGTCCTCAACCTGGGGATAAATGCGAGCAGCGCCTTCTACGTCTTGAACCCACAGAGGAACCTTTCTGGGACGGAGAAGATGTTCAAAGACTGGTTTCAAAGGTAGGTGTATTGGTGCACAACTCTTGTGTCAACCCCCTCTTGCGTACCTGGGCACCGGAAGAAAGACTCGTTGGTTATGCGGCCTGCTAGCAGACTCCCCTTTCACAGATGGGAGCTTGTTCAGTCGGCACAGTTGCACAAAGCACGGCTCAGCTGACCTTTCTGCTTCTGTCACCTCAGTCTGGTGTAGTGTAGCCAGTTTGGTGCAGTGGTTAAGTAAGTGTGCAGACTCTAATCCAGGAGAACCGGGTTTGATTCCCCATTTCTCCACTCACAGCTGCTGGATGACCTTGGGCAAGCCATAGTTCTGTCAGAGGTGTTCTTGAAAAGAGCAATTTCTGTCAGAGCTCTCGCAGGCCCACCTACCTCACAGGGTGTCTGTTGTGGGGAGGGGAAGGGAAAGTAGTCTGTAAACTGCTCTGAGACTCCGAGTGAACTGCGGGGGATAAATCCAATCTCTTCTTCTCACAGTGAGCCCGGCTGGACGGGAGTGGTGGGTGAAGCGCCTGCTGCGGACCAAGTACCGTCGGCTCTTGAGGAACGGGACCTCTACATGTGAGTACAACGTACAGCCCAGCTGGGGCGCAACACTGCAGGAGGCAGCTGGGGCCTTGGTATGATTGGGGGCGATGGAACAGGATGTGACCTAAATCTTTCCACTAGCCCTTCAATGTGTCATGGGGTATGAGGAAGTGCGTGGCAAGAGTCTTCTTGAAGCGTAAGAGCAGCTCTGCTAAATTGGACCAAAAGTCTGTTTTGTCCAGTATTCTGCTTTCCACAGTGGGTCAACCTGGTGCCCCTGGAAGGCCTGCAAGCAGGACACAGAGGTCATTGGGCATTTATCTCTCCATTGTTGTAATATAAGTATTTTAGCAATAGTAAGGGTATGGAGGGTCTCTTTTCTTTGACCATCAGTCTTCAGGAGGCAAGCAAATAGTTTAAAAATACGGAAGTGTCCTCAAAAGGAGGGGCGGAGCGACGCTAGGAGATGGCGGACGCACTTAACTAGAGCTCCCAGCCTAAACCTCCCAAAAACCACGAAAATCGGAACATTTCCCTAAAAAACACCAGGGAAAGTTATGGGAAAACCTCCTAAAGGAAGAACATCGAAAAACTCAACTCAAAACAAATCGGTACGAGCGTACTTCACCAGGGACGCTGCAACTGCCTTGACCGTTACTCAAGAACGAGACCGCGTAAACATGGCGGCCGAGAAAGCGAGTGAACCCCGGGACAGATCGCCGGAGCCGAACTCACCAATTACGAAAAAAGACTTATGCGATTTAAAAGATGATCTGCTTAAATCGCTTTCAACCATAGTAAGGGTATGGAGGGTCTCTTTTCTTTGACCATCAGTCTTCAGGAGGCAAGCAAATAGTTTAAAAATACAGAAGTGTCCTCAAAAATCAGTGAATACTCTAAGACAAAACTGAGATAATAACATCTTCCCAGAAAGACTGAATGACTGGACTCGCCCAAAACATATGTTTAAAGGATGTGTCCTGTGAATTACAATGCCAACAGGTAGACACTTTACCCAGTCTTACTAAAAAGGCGCTGTGGTGTCAAGTTTATCCTTATGGCTGGCCAAAGTCTTGAATTTGGATGAAGGGAAAGCCCCAATTATATTAAAGGCACAAAGGCTGGGCCCTTTAGCATCAGCCCGTAGAAACCGCCCAAGGGACATAATGGCGCAATTTTTGTATTCCTCTACGCGAGATAAAATACTGAGGGAGGCAAGAGCTCAGGGAGCCCTGCCATACAAAGATGGGAAGATAATCGTGTTATTAGACCTCTCCGTAGAGACGCTTGAGAAACGACGTTCCCTTAAACTAATTGCCACTAAACTGTTTAAGGCACACATAAAATTCCGATGGAGCCAGGCTTTGAATATACAAGTATACAAGAACGGTGCTCTTCATCAGGCCACAGATTATGACTCTGGAAAAAGGCTGCTAGCAACGTTGGGAATTGATTTAGCAACTGAGGAAGAGGGAAATACTGAAGCGGCTTGATAATATTTCTAAAGATCCTACTGGAACTGTGACACTGCTACTGAACTCAAGTTAAAGAAAATGGAAAACTGTTAATGTTATTTTTTAGTAACATGAAGCGTTTTTTAATCTATTAGCTTTATGGTTAAAAGTGTATATTTATACACATATTAGGCTGTGTGTATATATGTGACTGGCCCAAGGTCACCCAGCGAGTCCATGGCAGAGTAGGGAATCAAACCTGCAACTCCCAGATCTCTGCTCTCTAACCTGTATACCACACTGGGCTCATTTTCTTCCGGAGAGGCATATGTATGGGGTAATTTCAAGCAGCCCTTGTTCCTTTGGCTGGTAATGAATATATATATATATAGGGAGACAGGAAAACAACTGAGAATGAAAATATTAAACTGGCATTAGTACAAGGTAACACAATTTAAATATTAATTGTCCAGGTAAAGAAAGCAGAAAAAAATCACAACTAGTTATTATTTGAAGTCATAAGTTACCTGAGGCTATAGAGGGAGTTCGGGATAATTGTACCCACTGACTGTAAGGGAAATTACTTTTTAATGGTATTGTAATAATAGTGTTACCAGAAATTCAAATAATTCAGAGAGCTAACATTGAGAATAAATTTTAGGAAATATAGTTTAAAATTTAATTCTTATATACAGGTTGCTGAAGAGTAAGTACCTAACCAAGATTTATAGTTTTCTTACTTAGGTACTTGATAATGGTATTCACAGGAAATCTAAATATTTGAGAGAGCTAATATCAAGCATGAATTAATGCCAGAAAGCCCTACTTAAAAAATTAATCCTGTCAGTAAAGGTAGCTGAAGTGAAGTTACCAATATATGATTTATAGTCATATTCTATTGGTATTTGATGTTACTGAATGTGTTTATGACATTATATTTATGATTTAAAACGTATGTGATAACTTTTTACTGATTACCAAGTTGTAAGTCTTATTGAGATTAATATTGCACAATAACATAAAAGAAAGGGAAATGTTCTTTATTGAAGTCTAAAGTTATTAACTCTGCATATCATATTTATTAACCAATATCAGGTATTTATAAACAAAATATTGTAGGTTTCATTTTCTGCATTGATTCAATGAGAGTTTCCAAGAGTAAGGGTGCTGTAACCACTACACCACGTAGTAAATTTGTCCAGTTTCCTTCGAAAGCCCTCTAAGCAAGCAGCCATTGCTAAGGGTTGTGGCAGTGAATTCTCTCTGGCACTTGTCTGTGTACAGTACTACTTTTGAACCACAGTTTTCCAGCTGAGACGACTCCCTAATAAGGCCCTGTCAGCTGCTTCAGGAAGCTCCAAAAGAGGTGTGGTGAAGAGCAGAAGGAGGGACTTAAGGATACCCTTATCACCTAAAATCCCACTCACTTGCTGTATGAAAACTAAATTTCACAAAGGAATGGCAACTTGGGTTCACAGGAAACTTTGAGGGGAATAGCCTCTCCTTCTTACCCTCTTTCATGTGACTTCTAATATGTCTCCTTGGTTTTTTTAAAGGAAACTCCACTCTAAAAACGTTCTATACATTTGTTAGCATTACTATTTCTTGTGCATGTACCCAGATTAGAAGCCGTACGTAAGTCCCAGGTGGGTTAGGCTGTGTGTATATATGTGACTGGCCCAAGGTCACCCAGCGAGTCCATGGCAGAGTAGGGAATCAAACCTGCAACTCCCAGATCTCTGCTCTCTAACCTGTATACCACACTGGGCTGATTTTCTTCCGGAGAGGCATATGTATGGGGTAATTTCAAGCAGCCCTTGTTCCTTTGGCTGGTAATGAATATATATATATATGAGTAAAGTTGGTCATGGTGGGCTGGTGACCATCTTTCCCTGGAGATGGAAGCCACTTCACAGAGCGTGACGGTCTCTGATCTCAGGTTTCCAGTTCCCAATGAGGAAGTGCTCACATGGAGCGCAAGCTTCTGCTTTAGCTTTGATGCTGCGTTTTTTTGTTCTTGATTTATCGCAGTTGTTTTTCCCTCTCTGTAGCTATGCTGGGCATGGCGCAGGTGCCCGTTTCATGGACTCCATCCTGAAGGTGGACTGCAGGGCTGTGGCTCTGCTCTTTGGCTGCAGTAGCGCCGCTCTGGCGGTGCAGGGCAACTTGGAAGGAACTGGCGTCATCCTCAAGTTCATCCTGGCAGGGTGGTGAGTGAGCTGCAAGTAACTCCATTGGCTGCCTCTCTAGGACTGCAGATCAGTGTGATCCGTTGCCCTCATTCCTAGGAGTGAGGTTAGGGTTCCGTAACTGGTGTGCCACAAGAGGGGCTGAAGTCACTTGAGACACTAAGCTCCCCCGCCATGTGGGATGGTTCCGTTCTCCTGGCCTGTTCAGAGCAGGGAGGTCGTGTGCAGCATGGACACACAGACCAATCCATGTACGCGCAGAGGGATGCCCCACAAAAGGGAATACGGATGTAATGATAGAACTGGGGGAATCCCAGGAGTATCCCCATTGCCTAAACAGAGCCCTGGTCAAAGCCAAAGTGGAAGGAAGAGTGTTACAAATCCGGACCTCCCATTATGACAAGGAAGATGCCTCCCCCCCCCCCCCCCCCCCCCCAGTCCTGACTGCTGATCAAAAAAATCCTACCTGTATCCTTTTTGAGTGTAAGAAACGTGCCTTGGTTTTAACCCACAGCTAAACATTCTGCCCCAAGTATCCCCATTTTGCGATGTGTTGAAATGAGTAAAAGGAGGTCAAAACATTATAATGTATGATGCCTCCCATGCAAGAAGACCAAAGAAATCCCACATTGTCACTATTACATTTGGCTGGCTGTTTGTTTGCTTGCTTTACATTTTCATTGCTGTAACCCATTTTGATTTTCCCTTTTCGGAACACATGCGTACATACCCAGGCCATCCGTTTGTAAATTAAAAAGTTGTCACTTGCCTCCATCGCTTTCATTCAGTACAGTCAGAACAGTCTTTTGCTTCCACATATTTTGTCTGTCACTTTCAGCTGAGCAATGGGTGAAAGGGACTCCACTTCTTACAGAGAGGCATACAAAGCTCAAAACTAGTCCCAAGCTCAGCTACCTGATTTTCTTATCCTGGAAGTCTTGGCAGGTGTGATCAGCTAGTGACCAGTATGTGGGTGTAGCCTGACTAGTTTGTACAAATACATCCAGCTATCTAGCCTGGCAAGCACTTTTCCTGCAGTTAATCCGGTTGTAGCTTGCATGATGATGGGGAAGGGCTAGTGGGAGGCCACTGCCAGTGTTCCCTATAAGATGAGTTAGTGTGAGCTAGCTCACAGTTTTTTAGCCTCTGGCTCACACATTTTTGTCTTAGCTCAGGAAAGGTGGCTCCAGAGCAAACTAATTTATGAAGTAGCCAAATTGCTCACTCACAACTCTAATGCCAGTAGTTCACAAAGTAGAATTTTTGCTCAGAAGATTCAAAAGCTTAGAGGGAGCATTGGCCACTGCGGTGAAAGGCTGAGCTTGATGGCCCTTTGGCCCCTTTCAGTTTTTATGGGGAAGGTTAATCTTGCTTAATCTTTGACTCTGAAGACAAGACACTTGTCCTTGGCTCAGAGCAGGGCTGCTGATGGGCTTTCAATGAGGATTTGTCTCGCCGCTAAAATGTAATTGGGCAAAAATTCAGTAACTTGCAGTCTACCGAGGAAAAATGACTTTCTCAAACATCCCAACGAAAAGGGTAGCAAGGTTGCAGAAATATTATGTAGTTCTCGCTGAACAAACCAGATTCGGGAAACTTCATGTCATGTTAGAACAACCACCACTGCCACATCCAGGACTGTTTTTTAAGAAGGGTCTACTTGGTGGCTAACTTTAGGTCTCTTCCCACCTTGTCTTCCAGTCCCCTCGCTCTGGGAAACCTGTGGGATGTGACGGACCGAGACATCGATCGCTACATGGCGGCACTTCTGAAGAATTGGCTCAAGGCAGGGTCTGGAGCGCCTCTGCTCCACTATCTCATACAGTCCCGCCAAGCTCCCAAACTCAAATACATGATTGGAGCTGCTCCTGTAGCCTATGGCTTGCCGGTCTCTCTGCAGTAGGAAACATGAGAAGAGTGCAGTGCTTGGTTTTATGATGGATATGAATGCACTGTCCCTAAGTTTAAAACTGCCTTTAAAAATGCCAATAGCTGCTGGAGAGAGGATAAATGTTTGGCTTCTGCAAACGGATGTCTCTCTTCAATTTCTGCCTTGTTATGTCTTCCATGGAAGGCTTGTGTTACCCTTTTACGGGGGGAAGTGTTTTTAACCCAGCCGCCGTTCTTGGAACGTGCAACGTTTGTACAGCATATGAATTGCATTTCCCAGAGATTATACAGTAAGTTATTAAATCTGTTTTGTGTGTCAATGTTTGAAAATCTAAATAAAGGTGAAAATTATTACGTTTTAACTTGTGGATTTCTTTAACAGCAACAGTTCTGATCTTGGAGCATGAACCAGAGATCTTGCCCTGCGTGGTGGAAGAGATACCATATCAGATCTGTATCCACTTGCCTAGCTACCCAGCTTTTATTCTGTCTTTAAATCTTCCCTTTAGGCTTGTCTGATGTGCAAATGTCCAGGGCATTGTGGGTCTCAAAGCTTCCCCAGACTTGGAAGGACATGCAGGTTGGCAGTGGAGTAAACATTCCCAGTCTGGTACCCATTATATCGCACAAGAAATTGACTTCGGAACAGGACGAGAGAATGAAGCTGAAGCAGGACATTGGAACACTCAAGGTGTTCGCATGTGTAGATGTGCTGTGCTTCCACAACACGCAGGGCATTGGGAACAGAATTCACTTCTTGCAGCTAAACTTTTGTTTTCTCAACACATGTTTCTTGACCTTCAGGATGTGGTTAATACCTGCCTGTCTCTGAAACAAGAGAGGTAGGTGAAAGAGATCAATCACTTAACCTTTTAAAACCCATTGTGACAGACTAGCCTAACAATAGGCTTGGAGTGTTTTGTTTTTTTTAAATAGGGAGTGTTTCACACCATTTTCCTCTTCGAAGAACATGCTGTCAAGTCACAACCAATGTTCCCTCTAAGCCATGGAGTCTTGTGAGCAAACACTCTACTTTGTGAGCTACTGGCATTAAAGTTGTGAGCCAGCAATTTGGCTACTGCATAAATTACTTTTCTCTGGAGCCATCCTTCCTGAGCTAAGACAAAAATGTGTGAGCTGGAGGCTAAAAAACTGTGAGCCAGCTCACACTAACTCAGCATGGAGGGAACACTGGTCACAACCAGCTCACACCAACCCCTTCCATGCTCTTAATCTCCATCAGGATGAAATACAGACAACCTTGAATACAGGAACAGCAGCAGGACTGCAGAGAATAGGCACAGTAGCTGCATTGCCATTATGCTACCCACAAAGCAGCTGGACTGTTCTCTGAGGAATTTACTCCAAGGAGTTACCTTTTAGTCTACAGTTTGCAACTCTTGATCAGGAAGCTTTTGCATTAGATTGCAAAGGATCATAGAACTGAACAGACTTCTAAATGTACTTGGGTTAGAATTAAGTCATCTCTGCTTTAGTACACAGTAGTACTAAATTTGGTAGCCACCAAATGAGAAGGGAGCACTCACTGGAGAAGACCCTGATGCTGGGAAAGATTGAAGATCAAAGAAGACGGGGACGGCAAAGGATGAGATGGTTAGACAGTGTCATAGATGCAACGAACATGAAATTGAGCAAACTTCAGAGGACGGTGGAAGACCGGAAGGCCTGGTGTGATCTGATCCATGGGGTCGCGAAGAGTCGGACTCGACTGTGTGACTGAACAACAACAACAAAACCTTATTCCTACTCGTGGACTCCATTATACCCTATGGTCAGGTGTGCTCTGCTCTCCGTTATTCCCTATGGGCAATCATGGATTCTCTATTGGCAATTTCTTGCCCCGCCCACCAGCACCGGAGGCAGCCATAACGCGAGAGGTGGAATTTGCCCCTAGGAATCCAAGGCCACCACCCCGGGGCTCAGGGAGGCGGGGGAACGTTTCCCTCCCCCCGCCATAAGTTTTTTAATTCTTAGGCTCCAAAATGGTTTCTCTGTTGGCAATTATGTACTCCATTATCCCCTATGGGCAAGCGTTTTCTCTATTATTCCTTATGGGCAGTCATAATAATAATAATGATGCTTTCGATTAATCGCTTTCCCCACGAGTGGGCTCAAAGTGATTTACAGTTACACTTTTAGACAGGGGACTAACAATGTTTCATAGGGAATAGGAAAGACAACATATAATTCATTTTTAATTGCACACGCCGTAACTGCACGTGGAAACGTCTCTGGCTTGGATCAGTCATGTCCCGAACGGCTGTGTCGACCGGCTTGATGACATTGGGGCTTCAGGACCCGTATGTGGTATCGCCACACTGCCACCGCCTGGCCGGAGCATCCCACTGCAGGGATTTTTCTTGTAGCCGAGTAGTTTCTACCGCCTTCCGATCCTGGAGCAGGACGACCCAACCGACAGCTAACACCCTCCCACAGGGGAGTTGGTGTGCCCACCCTCTCTAAGGAGTGGCAATTATGTACTCCATTATCCCCTGTGGGCAAGCTACCTCTCCATTATTCTCTATGGGCAGTCATGGATTCTCTATCGGCAATTTTGGATTCTCTACTGGCAATTATGTACTGCACTATCCCCTCTATGGGCACTCATGCATTCCCTATGGGCAACCGCTGTCCTTAGTTTTAGTATGTCCCAATTCTGGGGTTCTTTAGAACTCAGGTTAGATTTTTTTTTTTGTTAAGGGCGGACGGGAGGGAGGGGGGAGAAGGAAAAATAATGGGGAACATAGGGTTTTATACCCCCTATGACAGTTAGAAATAAATCACAATTATTGGTTCCATCAAAGTTTGTCACATATCCATCACACCATTCTGATTGGGAATCCAACCTGGGGGTTGGTTTTTCCCAGGCAAAAATATACCTTCTTCATTTGAACAATAGGCTTTCTTCTTCCTAGGCTGTGAATTTCTAAAAAGTATCTAATTGTAACACATATTAGTACATCATGCAGTGTTCTTCAGCTAACGCAAGCAAACTGACATCAGAGGCATACGCGGTTACAACTGGCAAGAACAAGCAAAGTCAGTTACTGCCTGTCAGCATTTAAGCAATGAACCAAAGTGAATATCATGATTGATTTCAGTTACTGTGATTAGAATCATCAAAGGCACTTAACATATGCACCATGGAAGTGCTAAGTGCACCCACCAAGTCAAACCTGTTAGTCAGTGGCAGAGTATAAAGTGGTTCATAAACGATGTGTACAACAAGTACAAGGTAGCCTTTACTGGCATAAATGGTCGATACAGAATATACAATTTTAGAGCAAAATAAAAACAAGACCCACAGGTACAAATTTCTCTACAATACTTTGAAGGAAAAATAAATTTAGCGGCCGATCTTGTCTGGATCCTGCATAGAACTACCGGTATTTCTCAATGCGTTAGTGGAGCTGGCTGCATCTGTAACCTGGGAAACAGCAAAGAAATTAGCAAAATAATTTGTGCCCCTGCGCTCAACCTGGGACAAACAAGTCCATTTCACAGCGCAGCCACCAAAGCAAAAGCCCTCCCCGCTCCTTGCAGTCGTTTAAGCGCCGACATGCCTTCCGATCTCAACCGGACATGTGAGGCCGTTCGCAACGCTCGCTTCCCTCGATCTCTGCGCGCGCGCTCTCCCCAACACAGGGAAGTGGGCGGAGTCTCGCCGCACGTCACAATGGCAGATCGACCATAGACGTTACTGCCTAGAGAGGGCACCGGTGCCTTTGAACCGCTGTGGCGGGCGAAGGAAAGGCCTCTTTTTTCCCCTCTCTCCCTCAGCCAAGATGGCGCAGCAAGTCAACATCTCGGAGCTGTCCCTGCCTCAGCTGGAGGTGCTGAAGAGCCAGCTAGACCAGGTGAGGGAGGCTGACCCGCTCGCCTTTCCTTTCCTGCCTCCTTTCCCCCCGGGAAGAGTATGAACGGCGACCGTGGAATGGTGGGGAACCTGGTTAACCCCGCCTGCCTGCCAGCCGGGTCTTGGGGGCTGAGCTGAAGTTTCGGGGGGGGGTGTTTAGCCCCGGTCTTCTCGGGGGGCTGAACACGAAGGAGGAGCCGAGAATTTCGCGTCCGCCCTCTTCCACAAAGGGGGGTTGCTGCGATTAACGTGCAATCTCTGTAGGCTGAGTTGCAGCCTCATGCCACTAAAGCCATGTTCACAAGTTACAGTGAACACACGTAAAACTGCGCGCAGGGTTCAGTTGGTTTCTCTTTATATTCCTGTTGGGTGTATGCCAGTTTGGTGTAGGGGTTAGGAGCGCGGACTCTAATCTGGGAATACCGGGTTTGATTCCCCACTCCTCCACGTGCAGCTGCTGGTGTGACCTTGTGTCAGTTACAGATTGTTCCAGAGCTGTTCTCTCACAAGCCGTCCTCGAGAGAGCTCTCTCAGGCCCACCTACCTCGCAGGGTGTCTGTTGTGGGGAGGGGAAGGGAAAGAAGATTGTAAACCGCTCTGAGACTCCTTCGGGTAGTGAAGGGCGCAGTATAAATCCAGTCTGTTCTTCTATGTTACCTTCAGTTCATGTACAGCTGAATGTAGGGACGCCAGCCTCCAGGTGGGACCTTTGGGATCCCCTGGAATTAGAGCTCATCTCCAGACTACAGATAGCAGAACTCCTGGAGAAAATTGATGTTTTGGAGTGTTGACTGTATGGCACTCTACCCTGTTGACGTCCCTGTCCTTCCCAGGCTCCATCCTCAAATCTCCAGGCGCTTCCCCACCTTGATCTGGCAACCCTGCCCCACCACTCCCTGACGGTGACCGGGGGGTGGGGGGGACCTGACAACCTTAGCTGGACGGGTGATGGAAATCCCACATTTATCGGGCACTGGTCCCTGGTTTCATTTGTAAAGTGAACGCATGTTGGCTGTTTCTTTACAAACAGAGGAATACATGTACAAGGCAACATGTTCTATGGATTTACTGTAACATGTGGACAGGACTTAAGAAGCTGTCACGGGCTAGTTTGGCGTAGTGGTTAAGTGCGCGGACTCTAATCTGGGAGAACTGGGTTTGATTCCCCACTCCTCCACTTGCACCTGGCTGGATGACCTTGGGCAAGCCATAGTTCTGGCACAGCTGTTCTTGAAAAAGAGCAGTTTCTGTCAAGAGCTCTCTCAGCCCCACCTACCCCTCTGTTGTGGGGAGGGGAAGGGAAAGGAGTTTGTAAGCCGCTCTGAGACACATTTGGGTAGTGAAGGGCAGGGTATAAATCCAATCTCTTCTTCTTCTTCATATAGCTAAGTCTGGAGTATTATGGGGTAGTAGCTCTGCAGGGTCTGAAGCAGAGAAAGGTTTTTCCCAACACCTGGGATCCTTTGACAGGATTGACGGCCTTAGGGATTGAACCTGAGGCCTTGTATGCAAGACATATGGGTATACTACCAAGAAGCAGCCCCATGTCAGAGGAAGCAGGGGTGACTGTTCCCTGTTTTGCTAAAAAGTTCTAGTAGTTTGTTAGATTCTGTCCAACTGCAGTAGGTACAACCAGATGAACCCTCTGCTAATCAGGTGCTCTTCTGTACCACCACCACCCCAAATACACAACCAGGCTCAGTCCATGATCTGCAAGGCATCTTCTGATCTGTTAAGAAGCTATGGTGCCTATAACAAACAGAACTTTGATACTGCTGTTTCTCTGTGTTGGGAGAGGGAGGCTGTACCTGTTGAATTTCTCCTTGTTTAAAAGCCCCATCCCTGGGCTTCCGGTCGGGCTAAAATGGAGGTTTGACGCACTCCAAAAGTGCTTGGAGTGGACGAAGGCTCCTTTCGACAGTTTGGGCTATTGATTAGCCCAACGCAACCCTCCCCAGGCAGGGGGGGAGTCTAGCAAGCTGCAAGACCCCAGAGGCAGTTGAGATTGGCACAAACAGGCTTCGGAGGAAGCCTGTGAGTGACTTTGATGTCCTATCTCGGTACGGGCAGAGCTTTTTACTCTAAAGGAGCCACCACAACCTTCCAAAAATGCATGCGTGTTTTTAGTTAAGTCTTTTTGTTTGTTCTTTTTTTGCCTGTGTGATCTTGGCTGGGTTTGTGATGCTACAGGAAAATAAGGCATCTGCAGATTCTGTTCTGTTAGAATAATTCCATTTCGCTCAGTGCTCCCCACACATAAACCTAAACAAATCTTTGCAGTGCAGCTGTTTGCAGCCTGATAGTTCCATCTGTTTTCTTGCTGTGCAGCTCCTCAGTATGATCATGATGTCGTACAAAGCTGTCGATGCTTTTTCATTTAATCAGTTTTACTGTAGTGCATGTGGCATAGTGCCCCCTGGTAGCAATCCAGTTACCTGGCAGTGGTTTAGAATCCCTGTTTGATGTATAGTCTCTGATATAGGCTGAATCTGTGGGTTTTTTACATCTCTGTGCAGGAAGTGGAGTTCCTTTCTTCATCCATTGCTCAGCTGAAGGTGGTACAGACAAAATACGTAGAAGCAAAGGACTGTCTGACTGTTTTGAATAAAAGTAATGAAGGCAAGTGACACCTTTTAATATTTAAAATGGGAGTGTGTGTGCTGGTGTTCCAAAAAGGGGAAATAAAAGGAGGTTACAGCACAAAAACTTCAGAGTCTAAGAATGAGCGTGTATGAATAACTCTGGTTTTCATGGATGACAATCTTAGCCTCCTTTTGGACTATTTTTGGACTTGGCACAGATATAACTAGTAATGGATATGGGGAAGGAATCCAGCATCCTAGAACTTTAAATCGGGCATGCCATTTGTCCTGCTCTGGAGGGTGTTCTCCCACTGCCTGGGTCCTCCCACCTGCTTCTGGCCTGTGAGCCAGTGGGAGAACAATGGGGGATGGAAATGACGTTGCATAATGCATTGACGTCATCCAGCCAAAAACTCAGATGTGACATCAGAGCATCAGGTAACTCTCTGAAAACTTTCATTTCCAGAGTGTCAGCTGATGCCACATCTGGGGTTTTGGCCGGATTTGATGTGGATGCATCTTGCGACATTCTGTTCACACCCCCTTGCTGTGCCCCCAAAGCTCCCCATAGCCTGACATCTCTGGTCATCACCCACTGTCCTTCCAGCTTTCACATATGGAATACTTGCCCCTCCAAGTGAAATCCGTTGTACACCGGCTTGTGAATGCCTTAGTATTGGCTTCAACTGGATTTTCCCTATCAGAGTCCTTGATCCCATGAAGATTTACAACCAACCACAGTGTATTTCAACTGGACAAATACCTTGTAAACTGAAGCAATAACACTTCTGCCTGAAAGTTTTCTTGACCTTTTACAAAAGCTGTTAATTTGGAACTTTATCTAAGAAACATCTGTAAGGGTCAGTGTAATGATTTCAAGTTATGTGTGTGTGTTTCTTTAAATGGTTGGTAAGTGTCAGAAGAACAAGGTGATGAAAGAGGGAGAAGAGTGAGTGAGGTGATTGGTTGGTGACTGAGAGTGTGTGGGCGGAGCTAGGAAAGTGTGTGTGGAGAGAGAGAAGGCAGAGTGTGCAGTTTGAAGTCTGAAGTCAGCAGCTGTCAGTTGTGGTCAATCTACACAGAGTCTGAGAATTAGTCTTCTAATTAGAATCATATAGAAGTGCTGTGAAAGGTATTAAGATTCTATAGGAGAAAGAAAAGTACTCAAGGGGGCATATTAGGCAAAATCTAATATAGTCAGAGGGGAAAAGCTGACAGAGACCTGAGTAAAAGGGAAAGATTCTACTAAGCAACTTCACAAAACATCTTGTCACCAATACACTTCTTTTACCAATAAACTTTTATCTTGTTTATTGTTAACACAGAGTCATAAGCTGTTTAAATTGTAAGAGCCTCATCCTCATAACCACATAGTCCAATGAAGGCGCCTTAGAGCTTGGGCACAATACTGTGGGAAAGGTGGAATTAAATCCCTGGTTGCAGCAATAGATACTTTGAGTGAGAGAAAGAAACAGCAAGAAATCTAAAACTACATCACACCTAAGCACACGAAATAAGAGAGAGGTACCGTTACAGTCAGTATTAGCTCTTCCCTTCCACCCTGGGCAGCAGGCATTTTGTTGTTGTGCCAGCTACCCTTTCTCCATCTTCCAAAAGTGCCTGCAGGCTCAACAAGTTTGAGGGCTGCTATCTTACAAAGTGCTTTCACATATGCTGAAGAATGTGCTTTTAACCACCTTTCGATACACTTCAGCACTTGTTTGCATGGGGATATTGCCATTTAACACAGTAAAATCCCATTGCAAAGTGGATTGAAAGTGCTTAATTCAGCGTGTGTGGAAGCGCCTTAGGTACTGCCGTGAAACAAGCCTAGAAGGAGCTCTAGCCCAGTCCCTGTGAGTTTAAAAATTGCTATTTTAAACACCTTTTGTGCAGGCTGTCTGTTTGTGTGTAGGGTTGCCAGTAACCAAGAGGGAAAAAAAAGTCTTGCTCTTTTTATGTGTGGAAATGGGCAGTTGAATCTCTTAATGGAAATGGGGTAAATAATTTCCCATTAAGCCTCTGTTAAAGGGGCAGGACATTCCCCCCCCCCAAGACCACTGGTAACCCCAGGCTTTTATATAAGGAATAGTTACGTACAATGGAAGGGATGCTGATGTACAATAGTAATGTGCAATGAAGGCCTTCTCTTTTTGTCTCATTAGGTAAAGAGCTCCTTGTCCCACTCTCCAGTTCAGTATCCTTGCCACAAGGGGGCAGTATGATGAGAGGGCTGCGAACTTATCCATGCTGAACTTTCTCCTCTGTCACTGGCCCCTCCGCCAATTTGATACTGTGGTTGATATGCAGCCCATTACCTGGAACCATGCAGAGAGAAGACTTCGTTAGAAACCATTGCAAGGCTCAACCCTGCCCTGTTTGCATTGCCTCAAGTCCATGTTGTTTATGTATGTGGGGGGGGGATTGTACCAAAAAGGCTTTAAAATGTTATGGTTTTAAGACAGAGAGGATAAGGTTAGGCAGCTGTGGAGTACCCCTTTAGCTCAGCTTGCATTGAGGAAACAATAGACATTGGCTGAGCAGTATTTGTGGAGATACAGTAGCACATAAGGAATGTTTCCAAAGGCGTGGGTATTTTTTGCAAACGGAAAAACTGCCTGTTCTTCTTGCTGTAGCTCATATATTCTGCCTCCTCCTGCCACATGATTTGCTCAGGGTGAATGTTGCCAGTGGTCGTTTCGTAGAAAAAGAGCTAGGGGAACTCATTAGCATAACTCATTAGCATATGCCACACCCCCTGACATCACCGGAAGTGTGTCATAAGGTCACACACCCCACCCCCAACGGTCCCGGCCGCCACCGGCGGCCTTGCAGCTCCACTGCCGAGCCCCATGAGGGGGCCCGGCAGTGGACCTGCAAGGCCGGCGGGAGTGCAAGGAAGCCCCACGAAGGCCCTCCCTGGCTCCAGGCAGGCAGGGGTGGGGAGAGGCAGGGAGGAAGCAACTTACCCTCCCTCTTCTCCTGCCTCCTCCTGGCTGAATGAGGGCCGGAAGTGGGGCGGCCGGAAGCAGGGGGCGGGGCTTCGTCATGTGCCCCGCCCCCCGTACCTCACCCGGGGGAACTGCGATCCCCCACGATCCCCCCCGAAATGACCTCTGAATGTTGCACATCTGCCTAACTGGGACCTGCATGACCCACACACACACTTTTTTTTTTTGGGGGGGGGTGTCCAGAAATGGAAGAGCTTTGACATGGATTTGTGGTCCAGTAGAGAGAATAGGAGCCCAGATAAGTCAGCATTTGCATAGGGCACACACACGTAGGGAGGGGAATGAATCAGCTGATGAATTAAAGTTCGTCATTCATTTTGGCCAGTTTGTGGAGCAGTGTTCGCTAAGCAAAGAACCGCCATGAACTTTCATGAGTTTTGATGCAGTTTATGGTGGTTTGTGAAGAGCAGAAACGGGCTTTTCACGGGAAGCAGGAAGCAGTGGTTTTAAACCAAACCTCCCTGCCACTCAGCTGTTTGGTTTAAATGGCCCCCTGCTTTTTGCTCCATGCAAAAAGCAGTAGGGAGCAGAAAGCAGGGATTTAAATTTTAAATGGCTCATGATCCAATATGAAGCAAGTTGCTTCGCGAACCAGACTTCCTGTTCATATGGGTTTGTGGTTCAGCCATGAACCGAACTGCAGAAATGCAGTTCGTGCCTATCCCTACACACACGTGTCGCCTTGTTTTCTGACTTTCAGGGCTAGAAACATGTTTTTCATTTTTCTTCCATTGAAAGCGCTGTGCATTGTGGAGGACACATGGATTACCTGAAGTCTTCTCTGGGTGTATCGATGTATCTGTAAGACATTATTGGACAACTCAACAGTGCTTAAAATCTATTACGATACTTTCTAGGCTTGGCTAATACTTATTCTTTAAAACGTGTGTGTGTGTGTGTCTGCTTCTTCAAAGCTTAACTATTCTGCAGTCAGTGGGTTGCTTCGTCCTTGATCCAGAAACTTAATTCTTCCCTTCCCGTGTGACTTCTCTCTCTGGTTCTTGTGCATTTCCTTAACCCTCACCTACAGATGTATGTCCCCGGAAAGCTCTCTGACGTTGGTCAGGTACTAATAGACGTGGGGACTGGTTACTATGTAGAAAAGGTAAGACACTCTTGTTTCAGCTTTGCATGAAACTGGCATTCGGCTAGCTGCTAAGGAAGCAGCAATGCATGATGTAACTCGGTGTAACGTTGTGGCCTGTCACAGTCCGATCCTCGGTTGGTTTTTGTGTGAACTCGAGCTGCAGTCTCACTGCTGAACTACAGCCATATTCTTGGAGGGGGGAGAGGTGGACGAGAGACTACTACACTACTATTCCTAGCCACCTCTTAACTATGGATACTGTTTGGGTACCAAGAGGTTCAGCCTGGAGACAGTTCTCCTGGGTCCTCCTGGGTGCTCTACAGTTTCTAGTTTGATGCCAGAAAGCTCTTTAGCCTAAGACCTTCTGATTAGACAGTGAACTGAGATCAGCCCCATACCAAGCCTGTTTCTTCTCCAAAGCTGCCTTTGTAATACTTTTATATTCCTTGTACCAGTGGGCCCTTCTAGTCCTAATTTAATGCAGCCATGTTAACAAAACAAAAAAGACAGAGACAATACCATTGAGAAGGTACAGAGTGCTTTCCCCTGCCACTGCACAACCGGGAACCCAGCCTTTTGCACTAGAGATTCTTGCTGCTAGTGGGAGTGCCTAGGGAATCGTATCCGACCTTGTGTACATCAGGAAGCAGGATAGTGGTGGGACAGGTGGTGGGCTTTGTAGGAAGCGGCTTCCATGGAGATGAATGAAGTTCTAACTGAAATCTGCTTACAGTAAAATTCAAATTGGGAAGGAAGGCAGCACGGTGTAGTCAGATTTCAGAAGCTAAGCAGGGTCAGTCCTTGGAAGGGAGACCACCAAGGAAGGCCCTGCAAAGAAAGGTCATGGCAAATCACCTCAGCTTCTCACTTGCCTTGGAAGCCCATTGCTGGGGCTGCTGTAAATCAGCTGCAATTTGATGACACTTTACACACATGAGAATTCAAATTAAAGTTGAGAGTTCCATGACAGAGCTTCTAGGGAAGCCAGGATAACTCTTGGGGGGACCTTGGGGTCATACACCCCCACATATTAGACTCTACTGATGTACAAAGGACTGTGTAAGGACACCTGAACTGACTATGCTGGGGAGCTTAAGGGCTGAAGCGGTGATGAATATGTTGTTTTACTTGAGGCTGGGCTCCGGCTCAGCATTCCTCAATTAGGGACCTCGTTTTGGTGCTACCTGTGGGTCGTCATGGTTTCTTTGATCTCCACAGTCTGTGGAAAATGCCAGAGACTTCTTCAAGAGGAAGATCGATTTCCTGACAAAACAGATGGAGAAGATACAACCGGCACTGCAGGAGAAACACGCAATGAAGCAAGGTGGGGGCCCCCGAAGGCAGGGACCTACTTAGACCTGGCGATACTGTCCTCTGGTCATTGCAACAGCGGCTGGAAAGAGTTCTTGACTGACTCTCATTTCATCTTTTGCAGCTGTGGTGGAGATGATGAGCCAGAAGATCCAGCAACTGACAGCAGTGGGGGCTTCCCAGACAACGGCAGCGAAGGCCTAGTGAGCACTGAGCCATACGTGTGCCCCCGTGCACTTTACGGTTCATCATTTTGTGAAATAACCCCTCAGGGAGGAGCACTCCAACTACCCCTGCAGAGAGTGGAGGGGGGGGGGTTTGTTGCTTGAACACCAGTGGAATTCTAGTATTCAAAGCTTTTCTGGGGTTAACATCACCAGGACCACATCCACTCAATGCAACAGGCTTTCAAGTAGCTCTTTGGATGGGTGTTGTATTTCTGGCTGTAACGTGGGTTGGTTCTCAATTTTAGTCCCCTTGGGGAAACTTGAAAATGGAATTGTACAAAATAAACAGGTGGGGATTATAGACCGAGTTATGTTCATGGTTTGACTGGCACAATTGGGTGATTTCCAGAAATTCGAGTGGTGAATATAAGGAACTGGGTTATGGGGGTGGCCAGCTCATGCAGCATTAGATGTAGTCGAGAGAGCACTATGGGATGGAGGACTGTTCTAGATCCTCTTTGTGTTAATAGCAAATTTGCTGGGTAGCCTCATGCTCCTAAGCTGCTTTACCTGTGCAGTGTTCCCTCTAAGCTGAGTTAGTGCGAGCTCGCTCACAGATTTTTAGCCTCCGGCTCACACATTGTTGTCTTAGCTCAGGAAGGATGGCTCCAGAGCAGACTAATTTATGCAGTAGCCAAATTGCTCGCTCACAGCTTTCGCGACAGTAGCTCACAAAGTAGAATTTTTGCTCACAAGACTCCACAGCTTAGAGGGAGCGCTGCCTATAAGTAAATTCCACAGACGTTAATGAGGCTCATGCCATAGGAAATGTGCTTAAGCTTTCATTGTTAGTGTACTCTCTGCGCGCTGGAGAGCCTAAAGTATACCAACTGGATCCACAGCGGTTTCTGCAACCAAATTCTGTGACTTACAGACTTCAGTTCTTCCATTTAGTTTCCTGCAAGATCTTTGAAGGTCAGTTTCTGTTTGCTTCCTCATAAGAACACAAGAAGAGCCCTGCTGGATCCGACTAGTGGTCCATATAGCCCAGCATCCTGTTTCTTACAGTGGCCATCTCCGGAGGGTCAAGAACAAGGCAAAGGCCTTCCCCTGATGTTGCCTCCTTGCACTGGGTTACAGAAGTTTCCTTAGTATATCCTTCTCTCTCGGCCTCTTGCCTTATCTTACTGTGCGCTGTTGTCTGTGCG